AAAAACGGACAGAGACGATGGGACAGAATAGAGAGCCAGGAAAAGGCCACATGCCTACTGTCACCTGGCGTTGACAAGGGCACTGGGCGGGAACACACAGCGAGAGAACAGTCTCCTCACAAACTGTTGGAAAGATTGGACACGCACCTCAGCCCACACCGTCACAAACAGTGACTGCAAACGGACGAGAGAGGAGCCCACAGCGAGACCAGGGCCTGCGGCACACGGACCCCGGCCCAGGGGCAGCCCAGCCTCCTGCCACCTCCCCTGCCAGGACAGATGCCCTGGAACACGGCACTCAATGACTGCTTCTGGATGAAGGAATCGCGAGAACAGCCGGCCACTCCAGAGCCCCTGGGACGAAACAACAGCCTTCAGTGAGGATGTATCCTCCGCATCTTGTGACTTTGCTGGGGGAGGCAGGTGCTCTCTGGCGCCCAGCAGGCGTGGTGCGAGCCATAGGCCACACGACTCAAGCAGGGAAGTCCCATCTGGACGCCCTGTCACAGCTCAGAGATGTAAATGGGGCCTGATCCCAGCCTGCCAACCACGCACTCGACTCCCCTCGCAGAGGAGACCGCCATGTTCCCAGAGGCAGCGGTGCGCACGGAGACTGAAGTGCGTGCTCCGAGCAGGCCCGTGGCTGCCAGGCCCCGTGCCACGTGCCCACGTGGACCATCCCGATTCTGGTGGAACCGCCCTCAGGCTCCACTGGACTCTGCTCTAGGCGGGCGGGCACCTTGTCCGGGGTCTGCCTGATCCGGACACCCCTGACCCTCCCAGGGGCCTGGCCCAGCCCTGCCCCATCACAGCCCACACCCCAAGACTCCGGAGCCGTGTCCACCGCCGCCTGCTCTCACGCCCCTTCTCCCACACTCCAAACAGGAATTTTGAACCTATTTTTAATCCAAAAGTAGGAGCGAATGCTCCAAATTCAATAACCAGCTTAGCAAATTCTGATCCGAGCCTGCAGATCTTTAAAGTTTCAAACATCAGCCCAGCCAAACTCGAAGTGTCCATCTGCATAACCATTTCATGTTGACTCAGGGAATCAGGAAAAATGAGAGCTATTAGTCTGCAGGATTCAATTGTTAACTTTACAAAACGAGGACCTCATTTCAAAATCTCATTTAACGATCTGACTTCCATCCTGGCCGGTTTCGTTGCATTTATTAGATTTCTGAGATAACTTGCACGATCAGACTCAATAGACAGAATAGAAATTCCGCCAAATAAGATTTTAGCCTTTGATACCGAGAGAGTCAGTTAGGCGGACATACAAACGAGCCTCCCACTCGCAGCTCCAGGCGCCTGGCAGAGGAGCCGGGAAAGAGCCGAGTGGGTCCCACCCCACCTCGAACCCGGATGGACAAGTCTGACATGTAAACCTGGTTCCACGTGGCTTCTCACTGCGCGTGGGAGCTGGCCCAGTGGCACCTCTGGGGGCCTGGCGTTCCTCGTGCGTGAAGGAGACCCGTGTTGTAAGCACCTCAGCACAGCCCAGGCCGCAGCGGTTCCTCGATGCCTGAGGGCTGAAAGGAAACAGATCCCACATCAGCCTGCATGAGCGGTAGAAGGAAGAGCAATCAGTGCCCCCGCCATGGGCGGGGGGGGGGGGGGGGGAGGGGGGGGAGGGGCTGTGGGCGCCCAGGCATGGAGACCGTGGGGCAGAAGACGTGGGGGCATGCGCACACTCAGGTGGGAGACCCTGAGTGCCCGCCCCAGGACAGCCTGGAGGTGCCCGTCCTCACTTCCCCCCGCACAGCTGTGTGACCTGGGACAAATTACTTGACCTCTCTGTGCATTATCAGAGCGAGTCAGGAGGAACAATGTGGAAACCTCACCTGGCACTGCCAACGTGCACGGGTGCTCTTTGAGGCCTGCAGCCCTGGCCAAGCTGGGCACCGGTGTTGGGGAGGGGGCCACCCAGGGTAGTCCCTTTGCCCGGTAGAAGGCCACTGCGTGCAGCTCCTCTCTGTGGGAACTGGGACCAGGAGAGGAGGAGGAGGCCAGCAGAGCCGAGGAGGAGGCGGAAGAGAGCCCAGGAAACCCTGGGAGAGGCCGGCAGCTGGCCTTTCGCTGCCTGAGTCACTGGGGAACCCAGGGAACAATGCACCGCAGGTGGTGATGCGCAGCCGCAGCGTCCGATCCTCACCCTCCCACAGATGCCATCTTCACTGTGAGTGGCTCAGGCAAGAAGCAACGCCCCGAAGTTAGAAACTCACATGGGGCTGTTTCCTGAGACCAGGGCACCCAGAGGCGCCTGTCCTGAGTCCAGCCACTGTGATGCCAGCGACACCACCGTGGGGCCGACGCCCTGCGCACCTGCTGCAGGTGAGGCCCGGCCGGGCGGGCAGTGCTGCTTCTGTGGGAACCCAGCCCGAGGCCTCAGAGCAGCCGCCTGAAGACCGTGTTTCCCGGGAAGAGGATGCGGGTTACAGGTCGTCCTGCGGCTGCGCCGCCTCCTCGTGGAGAGCAGGTGGGGTGGAGGTGCCCGCTGCAGCCACATGGTCACCTGGGCGTCTCCCAGGCCTTGACATGAGTCTCCGTGACCACAGGCTGTGACGGCCGGGACCTGCAGGGGCCTGAGCTGCGCACGTAGCCGACTGCCCCCCGTGTACCTGCAGCAGAAGCGCTCACAGGAGAGGGGATCTGCCCAGAGTGTGCTGAGGGGCTGGAGCTGACAAGGTCTCCTTCCCGAGTGTGGAGGGCAGGGCCTGCCAGTGGCAGCGTCAGGCACAGCTCGGCTTTGAACTCGAAGCGGATTCCTGTTTTAATGTTATCAGCTCCTTCCTTTCTTTTTTCCTTTCTTATTATGAAATGCTTTACACTTGATCTTAGCCAAAAGGCCGAGAAGTGATACTGCGATGTGTGTTAGAAATTAGACGTTGAAATATACAGGTGCGGGCCGGGAGGAAAGCAGACATGTCCCCTCATTGGGGTGAAGGCTACTCACGTCCTTCCTGAGGAGGAGCCGTGTCTGCTCCTGACTCGATCTCATGTGAGGCGTGTGGCCCTCAGCCTGTGCGGGGCTGTCGGTGTGGGGTGTGGACACCGCGGCAGTAAATCCAAGGACTGGCCTGTGGCTCTGTCTTTTCACATCTGGGATTCTGTCCGGTTCTGATATCCATGTGCTGCTTTATTTCACAGAAACGCCTCTGGAAGCTTTTCTCCGCCCCTGAGCTCTGGAACTGCCTGACAGGGGGCACGCCCGCGTTCCTAGGAACCTGGTGTGTTTCATGGGGCGCCCTGGGCGAGGGGGCTCTCGGGGGTTAGCTCTTGAGACCCTGTGCACATCGGATCCACGTCTGGTACATGGGAGTCTCGATACTGCTCTCTCTTCCCAAATGCTCTGAATTCATCCTGTTTCCTTAAGGTTATCTTCCTTAAGGTTTCCTTTCTCACTTGTATTTCATTCCTTTATTGTACTCACTTTTATTGGTTCATAGGGTCATCGCTTGGGTTAATTGATCTTTGCTGTTGATTTAATTAAATTATACACTCAGCTTTGCAAATTCCTTCTTTGTGCTCTTAGTTTGCATGTGCAGACACGTGTGGGTGCAGGCGTGTGCATGTGTGATGCACACATGGGTGCAGGCATGTGCCTGTGTGTGATGCACATCTGCATGTGTGCATTTTTCCTGCCTGCTTGAGTACATACATAGTTTACTGTCACTGGTTGTTGCCCCATAACATACGCCAGAAATGCCAGTGTGAACCGTATGGTATGAAGATAAGTGCCTGCTCATCTGCTAATGCTTCCAGTTCACTGCTTTCATGTTACAAACATAAGTGGTCCCCTCTCCTTTTTCTTTCCACTCTTTCACAGTTCTCATTATATGACCTAGTCTATAAAGCTGTTTTGCTCAGGTTTCTACTGACATGCACACGTAAAGTTTTTCACGATGTGCATGATCGTTCATACGTAGCTTGGAAATGACCGGGTAGTTTCACTCACTCGGAGGAGGCTGGTGGGGACCAGGAGGTATTGGGTGCCAGCAGGACACCTCCGTGTCTTCATCCATCACCTACGGGGCTTGTTCTGCTTTTAACAGATGCGGATCCATTTCTCTCCTGGATACAATTATTTGTAAATATATGGATCTATGTCTAATCCAGGAACTTCTCTTAAGTGGTGTCTTCCAATACTTCCCTGTTCCCTGTTCCGGCCTCTGAGGGGACACTGGCCATGCGTGTCCTGGCTGACCTCCATGTGGTCACCGCCCACAGCCGGGTCTCACTCCTCTCTCCTCTCCTCCAGCTGCCACCCCCCCTCCCTCCTGTGGATCTACGGCTCTTTGTCGCTTCACCTTTTCTTCCCCATTTCTGACCTCAACTCCCAGCCTCTCGTTCGCCTTCGTGCATCGCGTAGCGCTTTCATCCGGGCTTTTCCCATGAGCTCACTTGGTGTGGAGACCACCGATCTGTCCCAGCCAATCTGTCCGCTGTCTGACCCAGCCGATCTGTCCGCCGTCTGACCTTCGCATCCTTCTCCGTGGCAGCTGGTGATGACCCTTCCCTGCAGCGCGTTCGCACAGGCCTGGTGACGACATGCGTCCCTCCGACGGCCACTTCTCCCCCAGGGCCCCCGCTTTGCATGAGGGAGCCCTTCCCAGGAGAGGCTAGAAGCGTCTGAGAGCAGGCGCTTCCCCAGGGAGACACAGCCACTGGGCGTGTGCCATGACAACTCTCGGCTGCAACTCTCTCTGGATCCGGGGAAGCCACCACTGGGAGGTGTCGGCATGGGGCCCAGCTCCCTTCCTGTCCGTGTGCACCTGGTGTGTGGCTCCAGGTGTGAGCCACCGACAGCCCCTCCCCCGGCTGCCACATCAGCAGCTGTGGACAAAGATGGCTTTCCTTCAAGCCTGGTCCCAAGCTCTGTGGTGTGGGGTCCAGGCAGGTTCCGTCCACTCTTTTGTTCTAGTACCTTTTCTTCCAGACCAGGGTCTCTGTGGGCCCTCTGTGCTCCCCGGACGTGGCGCGTCCTCCCTGCCTCGGGCCTAATTTTCACTGCTGGGCCGCCAGTGGATCCTGCTCATGTTCTGGGTCACAGCTATTTCTCGGGGCCTCCGAATGGAGCCCACTCTGTCCTCAGTCTCCTTGCGGATTCCAGCTTTAGTCAGACATTCCTGTCCCCATGTGGAGCTGGAAGTCCCATCGCACATGTTACACCGACCCTCAGTTCCTGCCGGAGCGCCTCTTGCCACGGCTGTCACCCACGCTCCCGGGACAGGCATGCACACGGGGTGTGGAACGGCGACTATCTCCCACTTCCTCTGAGACTTACACAGTGAAGAGAACGGATACACCCCTTTTCACGTGCTTACCCCCGCAGCCTGGTCATCAGAAGCCCCCAGCGAGGGGCTGCCTTCTGCCCTGGCCCCAGCCTGTGGCACGTCCCGGGGCGGCTGCGCTGGGAGAGGGACGGGGAGGCGGGCGGACAGACTGTCGATCTTCAGCAGCAGCTCATCCAGCAGGTCTGCAAACTCATCCAGGGAGGGGTTCTGGAGGGAGGAAAAGAGACTAGTACGGCCTCCAGGAGCCGAATCCCCCTCATTCTCTGAAGCCTTTCATGGCACTGACGTTAGGTGGCATGTGCTGTGTTAGGGAGCGCACGGGACCCACATCTCCGTGCCCTCACGCACTGCGTCATCCACAGGCGTGCGCAGACCCTCACGTTGTACAAAGCGTGCACACCTGTCCCTCGTTCAGCACATCACACAGGTGTGCATCTAGGCCAGTGGTTCTCAACTTGGCTGCACATTAGAATCACCTGGGAATCTTTTTACAATCCCGATTTCTGGGCCTCATCCTCCGGAAATTCTGTTTCTTTGTTACTAATGTTGTGGCCCCACCCCACAGCAAAGAAACAGAATTTCCAGAGGATGAGGCCCAGAAATCAGGATTTTAAAAAGATTCCCAGGTGATTCTAGTGTGCAGCCAAGTTGAGAACCACTGATCTAAGTGCTAAGGTTCAGACACCCACATGAAGGACTGTAAAGTGGACTTGGAGGCAGTCATCTACGGAAAGTGCGACAAGCAGTGAAGCCCACACACGCCCACTGCCACCACGCGTGTGGCTGGCTCAGAGCTGCCCTGGGCGGCGCCAGAACGCCAGCCCTCGCAGCAGCTGGGCCCAGTGTGCACAGACCTGCTTTGTTCTGTTTGACTCGGGTCGGGGGGCCGACACTCAGTGGCTAAAAGGACAGAACAGGGGGCGTGCGATGGGGAGAATCCCAGTGCCCCTCTTGCCGACCCTGCAGGGTCATTCGAGGATAGAGGAGTTAGTGGGGGAGCCTGGGCTTGTGAACAGTGATGCCTTTAGAACTGTCAGTAAAGGCCTGTGGCTTTGCAGGGATATTGGTGCAGAATCACAGTCTCGCTTTCATAACTAAAAGCAAAGTTCTGCATCGAAACCGTCGCCTTGGACGGGCTCGCTGATGCAAGCCCGGAGCTTACGTGGTGCGTGGCCGGCTCAGCCTCCTCTGGCTGCCGCCTCTCCAACCCTAGCGAAGAGCAGGCCGCCCCCCACACGTAGGTCATCACGTCTGCAAGTCTCACAAGAGATTGGCTTTGAAAAGATTTTCGTTTGGGAACAAAAGCCATGAGGGAACCTCTGAGCTGGAAAAAATGAAAAAATAAAGACAAACTTCATGTTATTAAGCAAAAAATAGCTTTGTGAATTTGTTCAACTGTAAATGGAGATCATATCTGATATTTTATTTCCTGTCCATAAGGCAGCAGTTGCGTAGCAAAAAAGTCAGGCAGCTCTCTCTCATGAACTGAGCTAAATTGCAGCAAGATTCTGAACTGGACCTGCGTTTCCACAGGCAAGATCCACGTCTCCGTTTTGGCTCCCCCTAGCAGGCCCCACGGGCTGTGCGTGACCCCGCCCCAATGCGCTCCCGCCTGGAGACAGAAAGGGCCCCGCAGAAGGACACAGCTTGCCCTTGTTACAGAAACGAGCTAGCGAAGGTCCCTGCAAATTGGTCCCGGGTGGTGTGTTTCCCGCTGCAGGCTGAGACCTGCTAGCTCAAAAGCTGGCATGCACACTGGATCATGTAAAGAGCACAGACAGCAGCGTTTTAGCCCTTGGGAGCTGCTTTGTGTCCCACAGAACCTCAGACAGCTGTCACCCCTGGAAAGACAGGGCCCTGCAGGTATAAGCCCCAATGCTGCTGCCCTTGGGAGCTCTCTGACCTGGAGACTTCCCGTGTGTTGCTGGGCAACTTTCCACACACAAAACCCTCCCCAAGACTGCCCTCCCCCTCTCCCCATGACACAGCCCTTGGAGTGTCTCAAGGTGTGAGGGACATAGGCACATGTGAACCTGTCACCATGGTGTCCACATGCAGTTGTGGGGGTCGGGCGGGCAGCTAGGGATCTGGGTTGGTGTAGCCAGGGAAGCTCCTAGGGTGACCCCACACTGAACGTTGTCTTCTGAGACTCATAGGATTTACACATGGTGGGTGGAGGGGCGGGGCTGCAGGGAGGCGGTGAGGTGAGGCGCGTGGCCCACGTGCCATCAGGCTCCCAGGGGCACTGTGCCTGGTCGGACACAGAGCAGGCTCCCGGCACTGTCTTCATAGGAACACCTGGAGTAGTTTCTGAAAATCGGGGTGCTCGGTCCCATCGCTGGGAAAGGAGACAGCAAACCTGGGGAGGGAACTAGGGAGGGCCCGGCTGAGAACCCGAAGACCAGGGTGCCAGAGCAGGCAGAGGGTGGGGCGGGGTGGGGTGGGGCGGGCGGGGCAGTGTGGCGATAGCAGGAGGCCTACCTATATCTTCCTTTCAGGTGAGCAGTGAGAAATGGTCAATACAGGCGAGCTGAGCCACTGCAGGGACAGAGAACTGCTAAGGAAGCGTTGTGTTTACTGAGATGGGACTATCAGCGGATGTCCTGTATTTTTACTGGTAAGTCGTCAGCCCTAAGTAGGGGCGGCAGGGAAGGTCACGGGGAACCGTTGAAGGAGTTTAAGCCAGAGGCTGTGTGTGTGCAGGCATGTGTGTGCGCACATGTGTGTGTATGTGTGTGTGCATGTGGTGCGTGTGACATGACTAGGGTTGCATGTGGCAGGTCAGCAGGAGGGTGGGACGCAGGGAGCCCCATTCCTAACTCAGCCCCAAGCCCAGAGAACATGTTCTGCGCAGCTGGCTGTTGGGAGATACTCCAGGAGATGGGAAGATCGAGGTAACAGGACAAGGGGCAGCTTGCACGGCCACAGTGAGATTCTGCCTGAAATCAGGTGGGAGAGAAGGGGTGTGGCTCAGGCTGGGAGGCTCCCTGGAAGAGGCAGCATCCTGGAGTGATTGGTCATCTTGTTGAAACTGTCTAGCCGACTGGACCAGGTTCAGCCCTGCCCAACGCAGGAGAGATGGGCCTCGGGAGTCATGACCGTGACATCTGGCCGGCAGAGGATGAAACGTCTGCTAACCCTGCCCTCAGAGTCCAGGCTGGGCACGTACCATTCCTATCCACAGAGTGGTCACTGCTGCCAGGAGGGCTGTGCGGCACCCAGCCGTGGCCTGCCCCTCCGCCTTGGAGAGGCCCGGGAACGTGTCTCCTGGAAAACGGTGGGAGGCGTCTGCGAAGGTGCCCGATGGAGGAGCCACAGTAAGGAGCGGAATCCCACGCAGGTGGGCGTGGGCAGCCAGCACCAGGACCCCCGCCAGCTGCAGAGGAAAACCCGCCACATTGACCTTCTGAGCATGGAGTCATGGGAGCCCCAGAATGTGGCGGGAACTTCTAAACGCTTTAAAATAAGAAAAAGCCTGGAGGAGCTGTTTTCGGATTGTTGATCACATCATCTGGTATAAGACCTTGGCCCCGCCTCGGGCCTCCTGTGCCAGCTCCGCCCCACTCGTCCCAGGCGCTCAGCCCAGGCACCCTTCTCCCCTGGTCCTCCTCCCACCAGCGCCCCTCCTCCTTGCCATCTGCACCCCGAGCTGCTGGAGGCCATGCCTGCTGCCAGGGGCACCTGTGTCACTGTTTCTGCTCCTGGTGCCCCTCGAGGGCTCAGTAAAACAGGCCACTTAGGAAAGGAGGGGGAGAGCAGTCTCGTGCTGAGTGTAGCTCAGTGACGTCCCGTTGTCTGTGGTAACAGGCCGGGAACTTGGCCCAGACACACGCTGCTCCCTCATCCACCCACACAGGCCGAAGCGAGGGAGGTAAGAAGGCCACGCACCCCTCCTGCACCGAGCAAGCACCCAGGAGGTGGTGCTGACCACACACATCATAACAATAACACGCCAGGGAGAGCCGGAGCAGAGCGTGTAAATGCCCTAACGCTATCCTGAGAGGAGAAGTCTCACCCCTGGTGCGAGGACGCCCGCGAGGGAGCGGCGTGTGGCGAAGATGCAGGACGCCACTGCGCTGTGAGAGCCGAGCAGACGGAGGCATTTCAGGGCCAGGAGGAACGACAGGGTTCCCTGGAGCCACCTCGCCCTCTGCGGCAGAGAACACAGCAGCCACGTGTCACCCTGTTACAGGGCGCACAGCGTCATCACCCCTGCGGGCCGGGCACAAGGGAGGCGTGCTCTGGGGTGAGGAGCACCCAGCCACGCTGTGAGAGGGTGCGCGTGTCAGGCTGCAGAGGGAAGGCACGAGGGAGGAGCAACTAGAGTTAGAGCTTTTCGGAAGGGCCAGCTCCAAGTCTGATCTTGCGGCTCCATAGCGGTCAGGCCCGCTCAGGCCCGGCGCTGCGAGTCGCAGCTTCAGGACCAAGTGGGGAAGGCCACCTCCACACGGCACGTGGAGAACTCAGTGCCCGCCCCCCGCCTCTGTGTGGGAATGAGCGCCTGATCGACAACATTCCTCACGCACGTTTGTAACATTTAATCTTCATAAAACTAGAAGCGCCCCGATTTCTACCGACGGATCCTGGGCTCTGGGAGAGGAGATGACAGAACAAGAGCCGCCTGGCTGAGCAACAGCAGGCCCAGGCCCACCTGTGTGGCCCCAACGCCCGTCCTACCTGATTCCATGACGCCATGGGACTGAGGTCCACAAAGCCCTGCAGGAGCCCCATGTGCAACTGGTTGGTCACCTCCCCGGCCAGAGAGAGCAGGTGGCCGGAGGCTGCGTACCAGGCCAGGCTGGCCCCGGCGAGGGGCAGCTGCGGGTCAGAGAGAGACCGTCAGACGGGCTGCGACCTGGGGGGCAGGGGATGACACCGCCTCGGCGCCTTCAGGCTTACGCCGTGGGGACGGCCCTGCGCTGGCCGAGTGGTGCGCAGGCAGGCCCGGCATAGCTATGTCTGCTGCGAGTTGTGAGGGACACAGGGCCTACCTCCAGCCAGGCCCCAGGTTTTTGCCAGTAGCCAGGGATGCCCTCCTCGGCCAGGCGGAAGAGCTGGAGACACAGGTGGGTCAGGGTGAGCGCCAGGAAGGCCAGCTGGAGGAGCGCGAAATAAGAGATGACAAAAGTCCGGTGAATTGTGTGGGAAGCTTGAAACCCCTGCCTACCCTCAGGAGTGGGCTCGATCCCAGCATGTTCTTGGCCGTGTGAAGCTCTGAGACACATGTGGTCTTTGCAGGCCCCCGGGCATTTGCACCTCTCCACCCACCAGCCTCAGAGACCCGCCCGCGGGCGACAGGGATGCACGTGAGCTCGAGATGGGTGCCCTCATGGAAGCCCTGCCCTGTGAGAACTGCCCAGCGCCCAGGACGTCTCCTGCCCCCCCTGCCCACCCCCAATCCTTCCTCATGATGCTCAAGAGAAAGAGTGCTCATGAATTTGGAAAACATATGAAATGTATTAACAGTTTCCTTGGCCACGTCAAACCTTTGAAAGATCCTGCACATAAGAAATTTCTTAAAGTTCTGTCTATGATGATCTCACCTTGATGATTTCCCATCTACCATGACTTCACTCGCCCCCTCACCCCCTCCCTCCCTGAGAGCAGCAGTGGCCCTGGCCTGTCTGAGGTCACGCGGCCTTGTAGGGCCCTGTGCACCTTCCAGTGAACACTTTAAAACTAAAAATGCCTCTTTGGGACCCCTCCCTCCCTTTGGGGACAAGGGAGTGTGCTGCCGCCACAGATCAGGGGCTGGGCCCCAGGACAAGAATGAGAACAGTAGCAGCCACGTCACAGAAGCTGGAACATGTGTGGACAGCATTGGGTAACCCACAGCTAAGCTTCGAATACTCATCTTTGGTTCTCACAGGTGAGGGACGTCCGTGTCTGAGTGGCAGCCTGAGTGAGCCCTGGACAGGGCCTGGGCTTCAGCCCTAAGCCCCCCACATGGCATCTGTACCCCGAGAGCTGCTCCCTGGGGGTCTTCCTGTCCTGTGCCCACACCAGCGGGCATGGCAGGGGTCTGTGGAGGGCAGGTGGGGGCACTGTGCTCCTCGGGTGGCCGAGAGGCCGGTGAGCTCACCTGGGGAAGCAGCAGGTGGTACCGTGGGGCTGGGTCACTATGGAAGACGGTGACCGACTTCACGAGGGGGGAAAGGGCGAGGCCCCCGGCCGGGAGCAGCGCCACACGCAGGGACACGTGGGAGAAGAGGCGGGTGGGGGGGTTGTAGAGGACGAAGTGCACGGACACGGCCCTGGTGCGGTGATCCACCCAGCGGCGAGCCCTGAGGCCAGTCAGCACGGCGCGGGCTGCGGGCCTGCAGAGCATGCAAATCAGAGGGGGGAAGCCGTGCAGGGAGGCTTCCAGCCCAGGCCCTGCCGGCCCCTGCTGTGGCCCAGCATTCCCAGGACTGCACGGGTGGCCGTCTGTGTCCTCCGACTCCTCACTGCCCACTGCCCCTCTCTCCTTGCCCAGGTGGGACCCCAGGCTGAGGGGACCCTGGAGAAGGGCAGCCTTCCCTGTTCCAGGGGCCCACTTGGGAGAGATCGCCATCTCTCGCCCCAGGACGTGGGAGCGATGGACAGGCAAGTGTGGACGACTTGGACCTCCAATCACACTGACCTTGTCCTGCCCAGGCTGAGCTCACAGTGCTCCCTGCAGGTTGTGGGGTCACTTGGGGCCACTCTGTGGGTCTCTGCATTGGTCACAGAGGGGGTTTCAGAGCCTCCAACTTTGGGGTGACATGTAGGTAGAGAGTCTTTGGGGAGCACGGAGAGCGGCCTGGAAAGCTGCAGAGCCAACCAGAACCAGAGCAGGAGTCAGAGGCGCTTCCACGTCTGCCTTCACCCTGGGGTGTCTGGCCAGGCCATGTGGGCACATGCTGACCTCAAACATGGCCCAAGCCCCTCAGTCCCCTGCGTCGCCCCCAGCTCCCGCCTGAGCCAAGGACCCGATCCCTCAGGAAAGGCTGCACCTGGGGTGACCCCATTCTGAGCTGGGACGTCAGTGAGTTTCCATCACCAGTGATGCAGGGGCGTGCCGTCCTCATCCCCCCCCCGTCAGGACAAGGTCTGTGACATTCCAGTTTGAGATGGAAGCGCCTGGATTTGCAGGACCAGGAGGGAGGCCACTCGGGGAGGAGTTGGGCCAGAGGAGAGGGAGGTGAAGGTGGTCGCCCTGCCCCCCAGCCCAGTGCCCACGATTCATCACAGCCAGAGATGGCACAAGGGCCTGGGTTTCCTGCCCATGGGTTGCTCAGACTTTTCACATTCCATGTGTTTTTAGAAGTAAAAAGAAAGAGCACCTGACCTCGTCGCCTCTTACCTCACATGAAGGGTCAGGAGAAAGTTTTATTTGCTTAAGGACTGCCGGACCTATGAGGTAGCATGTTCCTCCGAGAGCTCCAGGCTGAGGAAAGGAGGACATGGCCGCACTGAAGCCTGCATCCCTCACCCAGCACAGCCACATGGTGAGCCTGTGCTCCTCACCCAGCACAGCCACACTGTGAGCCTGGCACCCCTCCCCCAGCACAGCCACACTGTGAGCCTGGCACCCTCCCCCAGCACAGCCACACTGTGAGCCTGTACACCCTCCCCCAGCACAGCCACGCTGTGAGCCTGGCACCCTCCCCCAGCACAGCCACACTGTGAGCCTGTACACCCTCCCCCAGCACAGCCACACTGTGAGCCTGTACACCCTCCCCCAGCACAGCCACACTGTGAGCCTGGCACCCTCCCCCAGCACAGCCACACTGTGAGCCTGTACACCCTCCCCCAGCACAGCCGCACTGTGAGCCTGTACACCCTCCCCCAGCACAGCCACACTGTGAGCCTGGCACCCTCCCCCAGCACAGCCACACTGTGAGCCTGTACACCCTCCCCCAGCACAGCCGCACTGTGAGCCTGGCACCCTCCCCCAGCACAGCCACACTGTGAGCCTGGCACCCTCCCCCAGCACAGCCACACTGTGAGCCTGGCACCCTCCCCCAGCACAGCCACACTGTGAGCCTGGCACCCTCCCCCAGCACAGCCACACTGTGAGCCTGGCACCCTCCCCCAGCACAGCCACACTGTGAGCCTGGCACCCTCCCCCAGCACAGCCACACTGTGAGCCTGGCACCCTCACCCAGCACAGCCACACTGTGAGCCTGGCACCCTCCCCCAGCACAGCCACACTGTGAGCCTGGCACCCTCCCCCAGCACAGCCACACTGTGAGCCTGTACACCCACCCCAGCACAGCCACACTGTGAGCCTGGCACCCTCCCCCAGCACAGCCACACTGTGAGCCTGTACACCCTCCCCCAGCACAGCCACACTGTGAGCCTGTACACCCTCCCCCAGCACAGCCACACTGTGAGCCTGGCACCCTCCCCCCAGCACAGCCACACTGTGAGCCTGGCACCCTCCCCCCAGCACAGCCACACTGTGAGCCTGGCACCCTCCCCCAGCACAGCCACACTGTGAGCCTGGCACCCTCCCCCAGCACAGCCACACTGTGAGCCTGGCACCCTCACCCAGCACAGCCACACTGTGAGCCTGGCCCCCCTCCCCCAGCACAGCCACACTGTGAGCCTGTACACCCTCCCCAGCACAGCCACACTGTGAGCCTGTACACCCTCCCCCAGCACAGCCACACTGTGAGCCTGTACACCCTCCCCCAGCACAGCCACACTGTGAGCCTGGCACCCTCCCCCCAGCACAGCCACACTGTGAGCCTGTACACCCTCCCCCAGCACAGCCACACTGTGAGCCTGGCACCCTCCCCCCAGCACAGCCACACTGTGAGCCTGTACACCCTCCCCCAGCACAGCCACACTGTGAGCCTGGCACCCTCCCCCAGCACAGCCACACTGTGAGCCTGGCACCCTCCCCCAGCACAGCCACACTGTGAGCCTGTACACCCTCCCCCAGCACAGCCACACTGTGAGCCTGTACACCCTCCCCCAGCACAGCCACACTGTGAGCCTGTACACCCTCCCTCAGCACAGCCACACTGTGAGCCTGTACACCCTCCCCCAGCACAGCCACACTGAGAGCCTGTACACCCTCCCCCAGCACAGCCACACTGTGAGCCTGTACACCCTCCCCAGCACAGCCACACTGTGAGCCTGTACACCCTCCCCCAGCACAGCCACACTGTGAGCCTGTACACCCTCCCCCAGCACAGCCACACTGTGAGCCTGTACACCCTCCCCCAGCACAGCCACACTGTGAGCCTGGCACCCTCCCCCAGCACAGCCACACTGTGAGCCTGGCACCCTCCCCCAGCACAGCCACACTGAGAGCCTGTACACCCTCCCCCAGCACAGCCACACTGAGAGCCTGTACACCCTCACCCAGCACAGCCACACTGTGAGCCTGTACACCCTCACCCAGCACAGCCACACTGTGAGCCTGTACACCCTCCCCCAGCACAGCCACACTGAGAGCCTGTACACCCTCCCCCAGCACAGCCACACTGTGAGCCTGTACACCCTCCCCCAGCACAGCCACACTGAGAGCCTGTACACCCTCCCCCAGCACAGCCACACTGAGAGCCTGTACACCCTCCCCCAGCACAGCCACACTGTGAGCCTGTACACCCTCCCCGAGCACAGCCACACTGTGAGCCTGTACACCCTCCCCCAGCACAGCCACACTGTGAGCCTGTACACCCTCCCCCAGCACAGCCACACTGAGAGCCTGTACACCCTCACCCAGCACAGCCACACTGTGAGCCTGGCACCCTCCCCCAGCACAGCCACACTGTGAGCCTGTACACCCTCCCCCAGCACAGCCACACTGTGAGCCTGTACACCCTCCCCCAGCACAGCCACACTGTGAGCCTGTACACCCTCCCCCAGCACAGCCACACTGTGAGCCTGTACACCCTCCCCCAGCACAGCCACACTGTGAGCCTGTACACCCTCCCCCAGCACAGCCACACTGTGAGCCTGTACACCCTCCCCCAGCACAGCCACACTGTGAGCCTGTACACCCTCCCCCCAGCACAGCCACACTGTGAGCCTGGCACCCTCCCCCAGCACAGCCACACTGTGAGCCTGGCACCCTCACCCAGCACAGCCACACTGAGAGCCTGTACACCGTCACCCAGCACAGCCACACTGAGAGCCTGTACACCCTCCCCCAGCACAGCCACACTGTGAGCCTGTACACGCTTCCCCAGCACAGCCACACTGTGAGCCTGTACACCCTCCACCAGCACAGCCACACTGTGAGCCTGTACACCCTCCCCCAGCACAGCCACACTGAGAGCCTGTACACCCTCACCCAGCACAGCCACACTGTGAGCCTGTACACCCTCACCCAGCACAGCCACACTGAGAGCCTGTACACCCTCACCCAGCACAGCCACACTGTGAGCCTGTACACCCTCCCCCAGCACAGCCACACTGTGAGCCTGTACACCCTCACCCAGCACAGCCGCACTGTGAGCCTGGCACCCTCCCCCAGCACAGCCACACTGTGAGCCTGTACACCCTCACCCAGCACAGCCACACTGTGAGCCTGTACACCCTCCCCCAGCACAGCCACACTGTGAGCCTGGCACCCTCCCCCAGCACAGCCACACTGAGAGCCTGTACACCCTCACCCAGCACAGCCACACTGTGAGCCTGTACACCCTCCCCCAGCACAGCCACACTGTGAGCCTGTACACCCTCCCCCAGCACAGCCACACTGTGAGCCTGTACACCCTCCCCCAGCACAGCCACACTGTGAGCCTGGCACCCTCCCCCAGCACAGCCGCACTGTGAGCCTGGCACCCTCCCCCAGCACAGCCACACTGTGAGCCTGGCACCCTCCCCCAGAACAGCCGCACTGTGAGCCTGTACACCCTCCCCCAGCACAGCCACACTGTGAGCCTGTACACCCTCCCCCAGCACAGCCCCACTGTCAGCCTGTACACCCTCCCCCAGACAGCCACACTGTGAGCCTGTACACCCTCCCCCAGCACAGCCACACTGTGAGCCTGTACACCCTCCCCCAGCACAGCCACACTGTCAGCCTGTACACCCTCCCCCAGCACAGCCACACTGTCAGCCTGGCACCCTCCCCCAGCACAGCCACACTGTGAGCCTGTACACCCTCACCCAGCACAGCCACACTGTGAGCCTGTACACCCTCCCCCAGCACAGCCACACTGTGAGCCTGGCACCCTCCCCCAGCACAGCCACACTGAGAGCCTGTACACCCTCACCCAGCACAGCCACACTGTGAGCCTGTACACCCTCCCCCAGCACAGCCACACTGTGAGCCTGTACACCCTCCCCCAGCACAGCCACACTGTGAGCCTGTACACCCTCCCCCAGCACAGCCACACTGTGAGCCTGTACACCCTCCCCCAGCACAGCCACACTGTGAGCCTGTACACCCTCCCCCAGCATAGCCACAGTGTGAGCCTGTACACCCTCCCCCAGCACAGCCACACTGTGAGCCTGGCACCCTCCCCCAGCACAGCCGCACTGTGAGCCTGGCACCCTCCCCCAGCACAGCCACACTGTGAGCCTGGCACCCTCCCCCAGAACAGCCGCACTGTGAGCCTGTACACCCTCCCCCAGCACAGCCACACTGTGAGCCTGTACACCCTCCCCCAGCACAGCCACACTGTCAGCCTGTACACCCTCCCCCAGACAGCCACACTGTGAGCCTGTACACCCTCCCCCAGCACAGCCACACTGTGAGCCTGTACACCCTCCCCCAGCACAGCCACACTGTCAGACTGTACACCCACCCCCAGCACAGCCACACTGTCAGCCTGGCACCCTCCCCCAGCACAGCCACACTGTGAGCCTGTACACCCTCACCCAGCACAGCCACACTGTGAGCCTGTCCACCCTCCCCCAGCACAGCCACACTGTGAGCCTGGCACCCTCCCCCAGCACAGCCACACTGAGAGCCTGTACACCCTCACCCAGCACAGCCACACTGTGAGCCTGTACACCCTCCCCCAGCACAGCCACACTGTGAGCCTGTACACCCTCCCCCAGCACAGCCACACTGTGAGCCTGTACACCCTCCCCCAGCACAGCCACACTGTGAGCCTGTACACCCTCCCCCAGCACAGCCACACTGTGAGCCTGTACACCCTCCCCCAGCATAGCCACAGTGTGAGCCTGTACACCCTCCCCCAGCACAGCCACACTGTGAGCCTGTACACCCTCCCCCAGCACAGCTGCACTTTGAGCCTGTACACCCTCCCCCAGCACCGCCACACTGTGAGCCTGTACACCCTCCCCCAGCACAGCCACACTGTCAGCCTGGCTCCCTTCCCCAGCACAGCCACACTGTGAGCCTGTACACCCTCCCCCAGCACAGCCGCACTGTGAGCCTGGCACCCTCACCCAGCACAGCCACACTGTGAGCCTGGCACCCTCCCCCATCACAGCCACACTGTGAGCCTGTACACCCTCACCCAGCACAGCCACACTGTGAGCCTGGCACCCTCCCCCAGCACAGCCACACTGTGAGCCTGTACACCCTCACCCAGCACAGCCACACTGTGAGCCTGGCACCCTCCCCCAGCACAGCCACACTGTGAGCCTGTACACCCTCACCCAGCACAGCCGCACTGTGAGCCTGGCACCCTCCCCCAGCACATCATTCTGGACCTACGCATTGTTGCCATGACCCCGCCCACTGCGGTGGTGGAGCAGAGGGAAGCCCACCTGAGCGCCGGGCACGCCGACTGGGTACATGCCATCCAGCAGTGTGGTCAGGCTCCAGTCCCACCAGGCATCCACGCTGCTTAGGCTGCCGGAGGAGCTCCTGGCACCTCTTAACGCAAGAGCAGAAACAAAAAGTCACTCTGTAACAGAGATGGCAGGCAGTCTGGTCTGCGGGAGCTAAGCGGAAGCCATCTGCAGCATGAGGCACAGGGCCCTGGAGCGCCTGGCCCCTGAGCAGCAGCGAGAGGACAGGACAGGACAGTGGACTCGTTCCTGGTGGCTCACCCGCTCAGTCACCCTCTAACCTGCGCCTCTGGGGAGGACCAGCGCCTGCCCGGCCCTCTTCTGGGTGCTGGGGACACGGACAATCAGATCCCTGTCCTGTCAAATCCCATGTCACAAACACATAAGCCAAACACATCAGTGACAAACATCAGGGAGAGAAAACAGCAAGAGACACCGGCGTGGGCCGTGGGCAGTGGGCAGGGGAACCTTAGTTTGAGCAGCCGGGAACTTCAGCACGCGGGGACGTTTCAGCAGAGAGTGAAGGCGATGGAGGTGTCCACAGGGATGTCTGAGGGGCAGGCACAGGCCAGGATGGGCATGTGCCAGGGGTTACGGGAGGGCATGGAGACCACTGAACGGGGGCCGAGCCAGCACAGGACCCGCAGATAGACACATGGTGCTCTCTACACCACCACCCGCTGGCCATGGCTTCTCCTCCCTCCCAGCCTGCAGACCAGAGCAGCAGACCCAGCTCTGACGGCTGAGGTCAGATGAGGCGCACAAGCCAGGCGCACACGGCACAGGGAGGGTCAACAAGCCTAGCGTGCTGCCTCCCAGTGAGCTACTGACCCGTGAGGTAGCCGTCTGCTGCCCCTCGCCCCAGGGAGCTGACCCCAGGACACTGAGCGCTTCAGACAACGAAACCCGTCAGCTCAGCCAAGACGCCCGCTGAACAGAGCCTGGCCATCGTGACAAACGCGGGCCACGTGCGAGGAAAGGAGACAGAGCAACATGGAGCTTGTGGCAGGTCAGTGACATGTCACCAATGTGTGGACTCAGAGGAGGGCAGGGCGGGCCACCTCCCTCCCCATCATGGCCTTCACCGCTCATAGCTTCCTGTGTTTCCAGAGCCCAGGCTCCCCCTGCCCCCCTCCCCGCTGCACGGGCTCCTGGGCCAGCTGTGTGCCGCCCTGAGTGGCTGGAGGCCCCAGGGTGAGCTTCTCAGGTCCAGGAGGCCACCCAAATGATCACTTTGCTGAGCACATGGTGCCACCTGCTGGCAGGAACTGTCCATAATCAACCTTGAACCCCCGGGCCTACCTGGTGAAGGTGTTCCGGATGGCGTGGTTGAGAGAGTGTTCATCCCGGGGGGAAGTCGCGTGGGTTATAAGCAGGTGTAGGAGCAGCATGAGGACGGACATGCAGGTGTCCCTGTAAGAAAGACATTGGGAATGGCGTTTTCACAGGCCGCTGTGCAGACCCAGCTGACCGTTTCCAGTGGACACTTTCGTGTAAGGGTGAGGCCTGTGAGGAGGCTCATGTTTCTGCATATTGGCATCCAAGTTCCCCAGTGCCATCCTCAGAATGAACTGCCTTTGTGCTTTTGTCAAAGACCCGCTGGGCATCCGTGTGGGTCTATTTCCGGGCTCTGTCCTGCTGGTCTGCGTGTGCACCACGCGGTGTCTCGGGTCCAGGGCTTTAGGCCCAGCCCTGAGGTCGGGGACTGGCAGCCTCTGACTGCCCTTTTCCGGGATGGCTCTGGCCAGGCCAGCCCCTTGCTTCCTGCACACATTCGGAATCAGTCTGTCGGCGTCTACAAGTTCAGCTGGCGGGTTTGGGCTGAGGCCGCATGGACTCTACGCCGGAAGATCTGACACGGGCCGCGCCGCGCGTCCGGCCACGAGCGCAGCGTCTCTCCCTTGCTCCAGAGCTGAGCTCTTCTCTCGGGTCTAGTGGTTTTCAGATCCAAACACCGCGCTTTCTTCCACCCGGGGCTGAGCGCTTCGTTTCCCGAGCGCCGTCAGTGGCTTCGCTGTTTCAACCTCCGGGTCCCACTGCCCGTGGCTGAGGTGGGAACCTGACTGGGCTCCCGCCGACTGGATCCTGTGACCCTTCGGGTCCCCGTGCTAGTGCATCCCAGGAGCCTTTCTCAGGATCATTAGGGGTTTTCTGTGTAGACCAGCCGTGGGCAAACTACGGCCCGCGGGCGAGATCCGGCCCGTTCGGCTGTTCTATCCGGCCCGCGGAGCCGAAAGAGCGGAGGGTTCTCTTGCTCTCTCCTCTGCTCCTTCACCACAGCAGTGTTAACATGGCAACGTCGGGAAACACGGCTGCAGCTCCTTCTTCTGAGTCTAGTTTAAGAACCCATTGTGGCCCTCGAGTCAAAAAGTTTGCCCACCCCTGGTGTAGACTATGCACGCCACCTGCCAGCAGGCTGTTTTATTCTTCCTTTCACATCTATAAGCTTTCCGCTCTTTTCCTTGCCCACGGCCCGGCTTGGACTTCCTGGAGGGGCAGTAGGAGCCGGGCTTCCACCTGAACCAAGCACTCACTGTCCAGCAGGTGTGAGGGTAGGTGGGGTCACAGAGGCCCCCTATGAGTGTGGGGACATTCCCTTCTAGTCCTACTTTGCGGAGAGGTTTTCTCGTGTTGTTTTCATGGAGCATCAATTGTGTCAAATGCTTTCTGTACGTCTCCCGAGATGCTCATGTGACTTGTCTTGTTGGATCTGTTCAGACGGTGAACCACGTCAACTCCTTCTTGTGTCTCTCACCCACAGGGAGCACCGCGTCTGTCTCCGCTGGTCTCTCTGTGCCGGTCTCTCCGGCCTCCCCGAGGCGCGCGGGGTGCTGCCCCTGGGATCCGCGAGCGGGCACGGAGCCTGAGCACATTCGGACCGGCTGAGTGGGAGGTCACCCTGCAGGGGACGTGTTTGCTGCCAGGAGACACTTGACGTCTGGTCCTTCTTTTTCTTCCTTTATGTTGGTCGCTGTGACGATCAATGCTTAGGCCCATGAATTCATCAAAGGCTGCCCATGGTCAGGTGGGGCCTGTCGCTTCCTGTAGGGCTGTGGCAGGTCCATAGGGAAAAAGGGCCAGTAAATCTGCCACCACTTCCCAGGCCTGGAGTCCATGGAAAGACGGCCGAGCCTCCGTTGTGTTTGCTCACGCTGGTCCCGGGGTGGCATCTGGCGCCCTCATGGCTGCCCCTCCAGCGTGTGGGTGTCAGGGATCCCCACGTGCTTCACGAACGGCACCAGCGAGATGAGAGGGAGAGCAGGCAACGCCGGGAAGTCAGAGAAAGATCCGCTCCCCACAGCCGTCCAGCCCCACCCACGACCAGGTGGGGGTGTCATCCAGAGAAAGGTGTCAGAGGCCACCCTGGGGAGGCTTACCAGGCACAGGCACTTCCTAACTTTTGGGTTTTATCTAAAAAGCATCATGTCGATGTTGCGCTGAGCCACAACGTATTTAACAGGCAGAGGTTTGAGAACATTGCCCTGGCTCCATCCGCGTCCCAGGTAGAGGTGTTTATCTTACGGCTCCAGCACCGTGTGTGTCCCGCCTGCTCACCACCAGCTCCTGCAGAGCCCGGTTACTCCAGCTTCTTGGCATCCCGTGGACTGGGCGCATGGCGGTGGCTCTGGGCCAGCGAGGCGTCCCCCTTCGCTCCCCCTCCCAGATGCTGGCAGGCTGCTCTGGACAAGAGCGCGGGACCTGCACCCACCTCAGCACTGCCCGGGTGCGCGTCTGTCTCCGCATCCTCTCCCGCGTGGCCCTGAGCCACGCTGTGGACGGTGGACGCGCCCTGCGCAGGCGACGAGCTTGCTGTCGCTCAGCCAAGACCTGTGGGGAGGAGAGGGCCGTGGGCCTGGGGCTGCAGAGCAAGGGGGTGAGGCCTAAGTGCCCGCCAAGCCCAGGAGGATAGGGTCACCGCCTTTGCACTTGGCCTGGGGTTTGTTGGGCAGCTGTCCGGGGAGGCAGGAGACTGTTTTCACTCTGTCCCATCGCCATGGCCACGCTGGCAGGGCCCCGACACAGTCTCGGTCACATCCAGCTACAGGGCAGTTCGCTTCCAGAGCTCAAAGTGGGGAAAGCCATTTTAAAGTGCACTCGTGCCCGGCTGGCATGGCTCAGTGGTTGAACATCAACCTATGAACCAGGAGTCACGGTTCGATTCCCAGTCAGGGCACAGGCCCGGGTTGTGGGCTCCATCCCCAGTGGGGAGCGTGCAGGAGGCAGCTGATCAATGATTCTCTCTCATCATTGATATTTCTATCTCGCTCTCCCTCTTGCTTCCTCTCTCTGAAATCAATAAAAATATATTTAAAATAAATAAAGTGCATTCTTAGCAAGAAATGACCTTTGCTTTCCATGGTCACAGCTCCCGACCAGTCATTCCACATGAGCACACAAGGCCCACACAGGCCACAGGCACTCCCCCGTGGGGCTGGCACACCTCTCTCCTTTTTGTCATCCATGCGACCAGGACAATACTGTGCACATCGGGAAAAACTGATCTGGAAGGAAGCAGGAGGGAGGGAGGAGGTTTCTGTGAGCCCATTGACGTGCAAAAGGCCTCAGCTTCTCCAAAATCAGTCCTCCTCTGCTTCAGTGTAGAATAAGCTGGTTTTCTCGTGGTCTGGCTCTTTCGGGATCGGGGCGAAGGTAAGGGAGCTCAAGAACTAGAATGCCCCAGAGGTCTCTAAAGGTGCAGCCAAATTTGGATTCAGAATGTGATTCAGACACGCACGCCGAGGCCACAGCAAGCTCTAAGCTCAGTGACCCTGCAGGCCCCAGACCCATCCTCACTCTCTCAACCACGCCTGGGCCGCGGGGACGGCTGCAGCAGGACGCGTGGGGAGCGTGGGTGCAGGAGAGCCCCGCCAGGCCTGTGCCCAGGCCCTTGGTGGCCTCCTGTAAAGACTCAGTGAAGAAGCTCTTGTCGTCTCTCCTTTTCCAAGCGAAGCCCAGAGCCACCAGGCCCACCTGCAGGGACAGGGACAGTGCAGTCACCACGCCCTGTCTGTGCCCCATGGAGCTGGCCTGCTCCCCGGTCAGGACCCCAGGGCTCAGTTCACCTGCCTTCACTCCCGCCCGCCTGCTCCCAGCACGGCTTCCCTAAGGCTGATGTCCTCCGGAGCACTGGGCGCCGAGGGCCGTGTGAGACCAACAGCCACCACCGTCAGCCCTGCCTCCTGCCGCTCATCAGGCTGCGACACGGCAGGGACACGTCCCCACACGCAGGCACCATCCCCTCCCGGCCCGATGGTGGACGCGACTCCCACGCCGAGGGCTGCTCACCATAAGGGGCTGGGTGACGAAGACACAGCAGGTCACGGAGATGGTCAGCAGGCACAGCCACTGCCCGCACTGCGCGGGGCCGAACCTGCCGGGAGACATGCCGTCACCTCCTGTCTGTGCTCAGGGCCCAGCTGGACCATCCCCCCCATGACAGGGGACTGATGAAGGTGGGGCGCAGGGCAAGGGGCAATGAGTGGGCTTGTTTTTCTGCCCAACAAAGGGGAGTGAGTCTCCTCCTGCTCAGAGGGGTCGCCAGCCACCCTGAAGCTGCTCAGTGAAGAGAAAGGAGATCCCACACAGGTGGCAGTGGAGGTGGAGGTGGAGGTGGAGGTGGAGGTGATGGAGGTGGAGATGATGGAGGTGGAGGTGGAGGTGGAGGTGGAGGTGGAGGTGGAGATGATGGAGGTGGAGATGGAGGTGGAGGTGGAGGTGGAGGTGGAGATGATGGAGATGGAGATGGATGCGGGGATGGGGAGGGCAATAACAGTAATAACAGCTTCACATCTGCTGAGAGGAGCAGGCACACGCCTGAGCTAACAGGGTCGCTGAGGATCGCCTCTGCTCCCCTAACCCCAAGAGGCACCATCCGCTGGGACTCTCGTAGTTTAGGAGGTGGCCCTTGGAGCCATGACGAATGACCCTGGAGTTGCAGGCGATGGGCCGAGCTGCCGGGGACCAGCCAAGCAGGTGTGGGGAGCGCAGCATCACCCCTACGACACAGGCTCTGCTTCCTCTCCCAGGTGTGCGCTTCCTTCATCATCAGGTGACTGCTAAGGGCATGTTCTTTGCCCTGTCAGAGCTCAGCAGCCGGTTCCCTCCCACCTTGGGGAGGGTCCTGCGACCTCTCCTATCATGGGAGCAGCGAACTCCCGTGGGGTTTGCACAGGACGCTCTTCGCCCCGGGGGATGGGGGAGCCGCGAGGACTGAGACAGCCAGAGCCACTTCCGGGCCCCACCTTACAAGTTCCCCAAACCCAGGGGTTTCCTTATAGACAGTGGACTTGCCGTCCAAAGACCTGAGAATGTTTCACAGCTCACCTGTATCCTAGAAACACTGTCCCCACGCCACAGGCCACAGAGACCATCCCGCAAATGGCCCACGCTGCAGAGCGTAACCACGGCCGCGGCGCCCTTGGCCACGGGGTTGTGACGTGTCCTTCGAACGCACGGCTGGGGGCTAAGGAAGAGAAGACAGAGGCCAGTCTGTGAGCAGCCCTCGTCGTGTCCAACCACACCCAGTGTGGTCACTGATTTTGTGTCACCTGACTGGCTCACAGGGTGCCCAGCTCCTGCGCCACACCCCAACTCTCCCAACGGCCAATGCAGGACGGGCAGGAAGGGGCCAGGCGTGGCACACCCACCACCCACGTCACCTTGTAAACCGGGAATGCAGTCTCTCTTCTCCCTCAGAGCCCACTGGCCAAGCTCAGCCCCGCAGGCCTCCAGCTCAGGGGGCGGCTGGGTGGCCCCATGGCCGCTGGCTGCGCTCTGGGCCTGGGCTCCCCCACAGAGAACGGCCGGTGCGCTTCGCTAGAAAAGACCAGGTGAGGGTGAGGCTGTGCCCCGGGAACGTGGTGCCCTCCACAGCAACTCCCTTGTGAGCCTCTCGGGAGGGCGTGGCCTGGCCGACCTCGTCATGCCTCAGGCTGGGATGGATCCTGGGGGAGGCGCAGGGCAGCCCCAGGCAATGACAGGACACTGACTACTAACAGGCCCTTTGAAGCCGAGAGCGAGTGTGCACCTGCCCCTGGGTGGCTGTGTGACCTGGGGCAGGGGTGGGGTTTGGGCAGAAGGAGAGGGAGCCAGCCTGGTGTGGGGACAGGGCAGTGGAGGCAAGAGCAGCCAGAACACAGGCCTGGGGATGAGTGCCAGGCTCAGGGGCGGGCTCTGAGCAAGGACCTGAGTCCAGAGAGCACAGGAGCCACACCCGACACGCTGCCACGGACAAGAGTCCACTGAAGCTACAGAGGCTGAGGCCTGGGATGGCGGCACCCAGCACAGGCAGTGCCTCGTGTCCCCTCACTCCCTCCGCTGCCCAGCATCTCTTCCACAGACCTGCCCACCCCTCGCCCTCGCCCTCGCCCTGCACTGGGCCTGGGGCCTCTGTCCCCCACAGGACCCATATGTGCTCATGGCTCCTCACGCCCTTCCCACCCTGAGCCTGGCCGTCTGTGGCTCCCAGGGCAGGCGGGGCTGCGCTCAGTGGGGCGGCGGACCTCCTGCAGGGTAAGGACACATTCAGGACGGCGCCCCAGGGCCTGCCCAGGACAGGGCCGCGCAGACGGGACCGGGCACCTGGCTGAGCCTGAAGAGCAGCGACAAGAGCTGTGCCCCCGGAGAAGCCAGGAGGGTGCACAGGAAGCCCATCCAGAAGGACCTGAGGGGGACGCCGGCCGGACCGACACTTGGCGGGAGCTGCAGGGACAACAGAGAAACGTCGCCCCAAGTCAGTGCGGCCCAGAGTGCGGTCATTTGTCATCATGATGCAGTCCATGTGAGCATGTGCGTCGTGGGTAATCACATGGGCAGTCCATGTGAGTGCGTGTGTCATACTTCACGGAGTTCTCTCTCCCTGAACCTTGGACTCCCACGCAGGAGTGAAAAAAGAAATCACCGGAAACGCTGCTTTTCTCCCGCACAAGCCCTCTGGATGGAACAAACGTTTGCTGAGCGCTCCCTCGGCGCCAGGCACCATGAGCAAAGCTGGCTGAATCCTCGCTAGACTCTGACAAGAAGCCATCAATCCCCAACGCGTCCCCAACATAAAAGCAGAGGGAAGATCAGACAACTGTCTGCCTTGGAGGAGGAGCCAACCTCAGGTTCCGGGCCGTGGCCAGTGTCACCGGTGGGTGGACACAGCTGTCCCCTCATGCTGCTCAGTGAGACCCCTACCACCTGCTCACACATCCCACACTCGCTCTTTTCAAAGAAGAACCTGCTGACTTGCAGCTGTGACAGTGACTCCTGAGCCCTGTGCCCTCTGTGGACGCACCACCGGCCCCCCCGCCCCGCCCCGCCCCTTGAGAGCCCTGCATCACCTTCCCAGCCACGCGGGCTGGGAATGGCCGTGAGGTTGTCATAGAAGCAGATGTGACTGCTGTTCCTGCACAGCGGGCTGTGACGGCCTCAGGAGCAGCGGGGTCACTGCTCTAACCGCCTGCCCTGACGTAGAGTTCGCCTCCGTCTCGTGGGGACGCGGACCAGAGCTGCCACTGCAAACTGGCGTTGCACAGCCGGGTGTGGCCATCAGAATTCCTGCTTTTCTGTCATAGGGAACTTGAACTACTTGCTAACCTACAACAAGTTGGGGGGTTCTCACAGGACCCTCCAGGCTGCTGTCCCCTGAGCACCAGCTGAGGGTGGCACGGGGCTCCCTCACGGCCAGTCAGCGGAGACACAGCGGCTGCCCGCAGACACCCCTGGGTCCCGCCAGGCCCACATCACCCCTGGCCTTGAGCACGGGGTCCCTTCCCTGTTGTGAACCCCTCCGAGAACCATGAACCTCGCTAACATGAGTCAGGAAGGTGTCACCCTGCAGGTCTGGGACTCGGGGCCGCTAAAGGAAAGTGTCCCACCTGCCTGTGTCCTGCGGTGGTGACCAGGGCCGCCAGGCAGGCGTAGGCGCACAGCAGGGCGAAGGCCACGCTGAGGCGCGGCGTGTGCAGGAGGCCCCGGCCCGCCGGCCGGCTGTGCACCGAGGCCCACACGTGGAGGTCCTCCAGCTGCTCCGTGAACCTGGAGAACAGGAGCTGGAACGAAACACAAGACCTCGCTGCACCAGGCGTTGCACCAACAGCACAGACACAGCAGCGATCTGACGGCAGCGGCTCAACTGCTGTGGCCCCAGCCTGTGCTCAGCCCCTCAGCCCACGGGACCTACCCTATGCTCTCGGCACACTGGGCGTGCCAGCCCCCTCCACTGGGCCTGAGCTCTGGGACCCTGTCCCCCGCCTCGCCTGTGTCTCCCTCAAGTGTCTTCACGCCCGTCTCTAGAGCCTCCATTCACAGACCTCACCGCGCACACCAGTCGCGTCTCTCCTTGCTGGTCCCTACAGACTCTGAATCCCTCACACTTGGCCCCTCCCAGTGCAGCTAAATGCACAGGGGAAGGCCAGCTCTCCATACCTCCCGCACTGTGTCCGCCCATGGCCGGGGGCCACCTGGGGACACGATGGCACCTACCTTCCGGAAGCCGAGGCCCCCGCGCAGACAGGCCAGCTCCCGCTCCACGCGGCCATCCCGCCTGCCCGCGGCCAGCCAGCACTCGGCGGGGAAGAACCAGTGCCCCCGTCCCTGGCGCAGCTCCTTCACCATCACGTGGCTGACGTACCAGGCGGGACAGGCCCCGCTGCTGTCGTGCCACAGGCGGACCTTCCGGAGTGGGCCCAGAGCAGCCGGAGTGCTGCAGGCACAGCATGGCGTCAGCTTCTCACCCTCAGGCGGGAAGGACTCGTCTATAAGCAGGGACCCAGGAGGCCCCCCGGGAACAGGCCGCAGGGGCGGGGACCCCGCGGAGCTCCCCCAAATCCAGTCTCTCTAACCTCACGGGTCTGTCCACATGGAGCGCCACAGCTGACCTATGTCAGTGGGGACATAGCCTGTGAATATGATCGTCCAGGGAAGAGCAGCTCCCACCTCCTGCCCGCCCCAGGCTGTCCTCCTGGTTAACCCTTTACCCACCCGGCTCTGCATGCCTCCTGCCCTCGTCACCCTCGTTTGGGGTGAAACTAACTCCTTCACGCAGGTTTAGTGACAGAAAACGCATGGTTATGCAGGTACCAGCATGTAAGCCAATCAGCCTTCGTCCTTCTGTCCGTCCCTCACATGGGCGTGCTATCAGTCAACCTCAGATACGCTGTGAACACACTGAGCCTGTCCCCATGGAGCCACCAGTCCCGCTGGAGAGCCGGCCTGACGGCCACACCAGGCCCCACAGCTGCTTCCCGGGCTCTGCGGGCGAGTCCCATACCTGAGGACGAAGGTGTGTCTGGAGTTCCGTTCAAACAGCGGCTTCTCTGGGCAGCAGAGCTCTCTGGGCTCTGAAAGTCCATCTTCACCACATAAAATGATGTAGACCTCCAAACACAGACACGGGGTCAGAGTTCAATTACTGAGCCCGTGACCCTAACCAGTGCTGGGCAGGGCCCCCCTGCACCCTCCTCCCAGCCCTCCCCCCATACCCCCATCCAGGAAGCCAGCGCCCCATATAGACCCCGCGACCTGTCCCGGGACAGTCCCTGACGGGAGGGAGGGGGTAGGAAAGGCCAGTTGCCCCCTCGGGTCACTGGGCACATGGCTAGCTCACGTGTGGCTGCGTGGCTGTCTCACACGAGGGCCCACCCTCCTCCCTGCACTCAGGGCACCGGGTGGGTGAGGGGCCCCATAGACACAGGGTGCGTGTCCTCAGCAGCTGGGCTCGCTGCTCCTTGCTGGGCGGCTTTTGTGGTAAGAAACGTACAATTCTGATGCAGTGCCATCTACCCACCTTCACTGAGGAAAAACCCTTACTTATTTCTGCTCTTTTACATCCTCTCCCGTCGCCAGGGGTGTACTGCCTTGGAGTGACTTCTAAGTGTTTCCACCTTTAAGTCTCTAGCCTTCAGGAGCGCGTTTCTGGGCATCGCGTGACATGAGGTTTCACGTTGCTTTTCCACATGAAGCCACCGTCCCTGAGCACCTCACTGCGTGACTCCTGCTCTGCTCTGGGCTGCACGGCCCCGACATGCCTCGCCTGCAGTCTGTCCCATGCCCTGTCTGTCCGTCTCCTGACATGCGACACTGTCCTAGCCCGTCCCACTCCAGCTGCCTGGTGCCCCTCGGAGTCTGCCTGCCCCCTCTGCTGGTGACACCACCCTCTAAGTTCTGATTTCTTGTGTTTTCTTCCAGGTAAATGTTAGAATCCGTTTTTCAAGCTCCACATAACCCTTCCTGAAGTTTTGGTTGGACTTCATTGACTTTAACCTCTTTGTGCCTGGTTTTCACCTGTATGGGTCTGTTAATAGAACTCTTTCCAAAGTGTTTTGAGGTTTGGGGGGAGTAAAAAAAAAACCCAACATAGTAAAGTCCTAATTCCTGTTAGCTGGTGTTATTACTATTAATGTTAAAGGTTAATGTGGGAGAAATGACAAGGAAAACTGGTTTTCCCGTCCATGAATGAATATTACTGTATATTTACACTAGAAGCCCAGTGCACAATATTCGTGCACTTGTGGGGGGGAGGTCCCCTCAGCCCGGCCTGCGCCCTCCCGCAGGCTGGGAGCCCTCACTCCTTACCACCCGCCTGCTCACTGCTCCTTAGCGCTGCCACGGAGGCAAGAGAGGCTCCCACCACCACTGCTGCACTCGCCAGCTGTGAGCCTGGCTTCTGGCTGCGCGTCTGCCCCCTGGTGGTCAGTGTGCATCATAGCAACCGGTCATTCTGGTCGTTCTGCCTTAACAATCTCTTAGGCTCTTATTATATAGACTAGAAGCCTGGTGCACAAAATTCATGCGGGGGGGGGGGGGGTCCCTCAGTCCGGCCTGCACACTCTTGCAGTCCGAGACCCCTCACTCCTTACTGCCCAGCTCACTACTCCTTAGAGCTGCCGTGGAGGCGGGAGAGGCTCCCACCACCACCGCTGCACTCGCAGCCGTGAGCTGGCCTCTGGCTGAGCAGCACTCCCGCTGTGGGAGTGCACTGACCACCAGGGGGCAGCTCCTGCTTTGAGCATCTGCCCCCTGGTGGTCAGTGCACATCATAGCGACTGGTCATTAACCATTTGGTCAATTTGCATATTAGTCTTTTATTATATAGGATATTTTATGCATATTGTGCCAGTTTTCTCATGATGGTCTTGTGGGTGCCCGGTGTGGTCATGATGGGGAACATGTGGTCTCAGTAATGTTTCCTATGTGGTCCTTGTTGTTGCATGAAGATGCCTTTGAGGGTTTTTACTGTGAGAATAAAAAAGTCATCTTTTCTGTCAGAGAACAGTTTAGGCAGCCGCCATGCTGGCTGCGTGACTTGGCAGTCACCATGTTGGCTGCAGGGCTTGCGGCTCCCTGGGGTCCGCCATCTTGAAATGGCAAAGGCCAATCCCCCCCTTTGAATCAGCCAATCGCGCAGACTGTGTGCCTGCGCTCCAGTCAGGAGTGAGGGCAGGCCAGGCGTGGCTCCCGGACCAGGTGCCTCCTGCAGGAGAGACGCGGCCTGCTGCCCGGCTCCGAGTGCGCTTCCTATTCCGCCAGGACCCTGGAGGGGGCTCGCCTTACTCTTACATTTATGGAATCATGGAATCCAGCGATTTTGTTAAACTTTCGTATTGATTCTCATTATTTGGCCGAAGACCTTCTTACATTTTCTATGCAGACATCAGATCGCCTGCCAGGAACTAATGTTCTCTCCTTCCAAACCTTAGATTCTTGTTTTGTTCTTGTCCTGTTGTCCTCCCTGGAGTTTCCAGGACAGGATGGACAGACAGATGGCCACATCGCCAAGCCATGCACCCACACCTGTGCACACACTGTCCACACCCACACGTGTCTCCCGGATGCCCAAGCACCTTTGCAGTGAAGCGGGCCGGAGCCCGGAAGCCCGTGTCCACGACAACCGCGTACAGCTGGTGACTGGGCGGGGCACTGTCTTGCAGGAAAATGTAACCCGCTTTCTTTTTCTCACGACGATCCATACGTTTGCTTTTAGTGACCAAAAGGGCATAAAGAATTGTAATGGCCACAATAAAAATACTGGGGAGCAGGTTTTCCGGGCGTCTGTAAATAAAGGAGCAGAATAGACAGGGAAAATAAACATGCAATCAGAGACCAGCCGATGTTCCCCACACAGGGCTAATATATGTGCACACACACAGAGCTAACGCATGTGCATGCACACACAAGGCTAACACATGCACACTCATGCACTGGCTAACACACACATGCACACTGGCCAACTCACACGCACATAGGGCCAACACATGCTCGCACATGCATACTGGCTAATACACGTGCACACACAGGGCTAACATGTGCACATACACGCACACACACTGGCTAATTCACATGCACACACAGGGCTAACATGTGCACACACACAGGGCTTACACAGGCACACTCATGCACTGGCTAACACACATCTGCATACACACGCACACTGGCTAATTAACATGCACATGCACACATGGCACACATGTTCACGCGTGCACGCTGGCTAACACGTGTGAAGACACACATGTCTAACACACGTGCACACACACACAGAAAGGGATTCCCCAGCCCAGTGGTGTCTGAAAGCACAGAGGTACTTGCTGTTCCCTGTGTCCTAGTCCCTGACTCCTGGTGACCTCACACCACCAGCATCGGCAGCATTAGTCATTAGCTTATTATTAACTATGGGACCCACTCACCGCTACCCAGGAACCCACTCTCGCCTATTGAATGACCAGGCGGCGTCCCTAAGGCATCCATGTGAGGAGGAGAATGACACCCAGCACCAGGGAATGCAGACTCAGGCCCCACAAATGAGGCGCTGACCCCGTACGGCCTTGGCAGCCTGGTGCCCCTTGTGGGGGATGGACAGACAGATGGACGAGGCAGCGAGCTCCTGCTGCCCCAGCTCACGTTCTGCTGGCCCACATTTCAGCCTGAATATACAGAGCTGTCTACGCAGTGCGATGGCAGGGGCGTTGCAGATTCGCCCCTGAAGCGGGCCCTGCTGAGGAGCAACGGGGCCAGGACAGCAAGAGAGCAGCAGCCGCGGGTCCGGCTGTGTCGCCACTGTGGACACTCACCCACTGGTCAGTCACAACGGCCCAGATTCACACTGACTTCCGTGTGTCCGTCCCTCCCCTGCCAGCAAGTGTGAGCTGACAGTCGGACATGGGCAACTAGGCAATAGTGAGTAACAATCACCTATTAACCGGCAGGTTCTGAAGAGCAAAAGGATCCCAAGTAGCAGGGTCCACGCTCTGCTGACTGACTCCTGGGCAGCCAGTGGCCAGGGAGATAAAAAGGGCCTGGCCTAGAAGGCGGGACTCACCCCCGGAACTGGGCAACGTCCCTGGATTCAAAGCTGGCGTTCAGGCTTCTCCTTGCGATGGAGTAGGCGGCGAGGAGGTTGTAGCTGGGAGGGAGAGGCGGTTAAGTGTGCGAGTGTTCACGGGCGCCCGCCGAGGCGGGGGGGGGGGGGGGCGTGGCAGGGGAGGGGCGGTAGAAGGGCAAGGGGGGGAAAGGTATGAGCTCCAGTGGCTCCCGTGACGGGTTACGACTCAGACCCAGCGAGAAGGGTCAGCTAGTGAGTTAGACGTGGGGCTCGGCCTCTGCGTCTGTGCGCGGCTTCCAAGGCCACGACACTGCTGTCCTTGGCGTGGACCTGGGGCGCATCGCAGACATCTTTGTGAGGCCAGGGGACCAGAGTGCTGACATCTCCATGACAACGCCGTCCCCCCACCCCCTCCAGTCCAGCCTCAGCCCAGGGACAGACTGTGCGCTGTGTCTGCAGTCCGGGCGCAGCCGGTGCCCGTCACGGGTCACCGTGAAGACGGACTCTCCCACAGCAAACCTGTCCCCCTCACTGCCCCATGGGTAGGGCCCTTCGGCGCTGATTCTGTGCCCTGGCTCCCAGGTGCCAGCAGAGAACCATGCAGCAGAGAGCGGACAATTGCTTTAATGCAGAAACGAACACATGACTGTCCCAGGGAACACTGAGCCTAACCGCCAGCCGGAGCAGGCTCCCAGCATCGGCGCTGCGCGCACCGGAGCAGACTGAGGAGCCACGGATGGCGGCCAGCACCGCACACGGTGGTCTGGACACACGGATGGCGGCCGGCACCGCACACGGTGGTCTGGACACACTGCCTCCTCCCAGGCAGCTAGGAGATAGCTTTGTGATTCAACCTTTCTTAAGATGACGGTGATTTCTACACGTGCCTACGAGGTGTTTCTACTGTAACAAACAGCCACGGCCGCTGACAGAACAGCCAGCTCTGCATCTGGATAAAGAGTTCCTGACCGAGGGCCACGCCCGATGCTCCCGGAAATTCCTGGGTGGCTGCAGTCGGTGTAGCGACGCATGTCCCGTGGTAAAGGTCACCCTCACGACTACGCAGAGGGGCAGGCGTGGGGTCCCAGGGTGGGGTGGGGAGAGCAGAAGCCCCACCCGAGGGGGGTCATCAGCATGAGCAGGACACAGCGACCCACACGGGTCTCATCCACCCACCGGCTCCTTCAACCACCAAATGTTCGCTGAGCACCACCCACACCCTGGGGGGAGGCATGTGAACTCCCCTGGGGCTGCCGCAGGCGGGCCAGACGCGGGAGGAAGCCATCCCTGCAAACCTGACTGCTGCAGCATCGCCTCACCTGCAGTTCACCTTCCCTGGGGAAGCCGCCGGCTGTGGGGGAAGACTCTCAGGCTCCCGCCGCGGGTCCCAGAGCAGGCAGTGGACCCCCTGGAAACGCACCACGTAGCTCACGGTCTCGGCCAAGTACCTGTTGGGAGATTCCCTGTCGTAGTCCGCATCCAACAGGGACAGGTACCCCTGGGTGTGGCCTGAAAGAGAAAATGTAAATTAAGAATCACAACCTGGGGTTTGGGAAAAGGCACCACCTGTTCCTGCAGTGGACGAGCGGCGGATGGACAGCAGCACCGCGACCCACGCCACAGCAGGGGCTTCCTCACGGGACCGACAGAGGGCCACGGCATCCCGTCCACCGACCTTCCAGCGCAGCCGCCGGCACGGAGACGTGCGCCGTGAGCCCCTCCCACAGGTGCAGCTGCCTCAGCAGGAAGTCGGCAGGAGTCGGCTTCTCGGAGAACCTGTGACAAGCAGAGCCGTGAGCACAGTCTGGTCTTGGTCTTTCCTCTCCGGGCTTTGCCACCTGCTTTTGTGCAGACACCTTTTCACCAGTGAGGCAGGCTGGGCCCCACGCACCACATCGTCATGAGAACTGTGTGGCACTCACTCTTTGCTTCACTAGAAAAAACACCAGCATGGCCGGTGTGGCTCAGTGGTTGAGCATCGACCTACGAACCGGGAGGTCACAGTTCGATTCCTGTCAGGGCACATGCCTGGGTTTCAGGCTCGATCCCAGTGCGGGGCGTGCAGGAGGCAGCCCATCCATGATGTTTCTATCTCTCTCTCCCACTTCCTTCCTCTCTGCAATCTATAAAAATATATTTTTTTAAATGAAAGATTGAGAGTCCTGCCCAGATGTGCACTGAGAGTCCTGGACGGACACCTGCGCTCTCTCCATAGTCCAGTCTCTCCTGCAAATGGCAGGCTGGGTCCGTCTGAGGCAGCAACACCTCCTCCCTGAGCGGCCGTCACTCCATCTCTTCCACAACCCGCCGCACTCCGCTGCAGAGTGCAACCTCACTCAGGAGTTCTCACGGGCATGTCTCCTGCCCTGACCCCACTACCCACAGCGTCAGCCACGCACCTCACCAGCAACATGACGGGGAACGCCCTGGCGGCCGGCTGGGAGAACTCCACTCGGATCTGCAGGGCCTCCGGGCTGGCTGCAGACAGCCCAGTGAAGTGGTGGACGTTCACTCTATCCCGAAGCAGCACAAACGTCGTTTCATTTCTCCTGTCACCCTGTCAGCATGTGGACAACGAGCAGAGTTGGCTTTCGGAAAAGTGAAGACGTCGCATGTCACCAGGGCAGCCTAAATGCAGCTGAGGGGACCGGGCAGGGCTGTCCTCACCGGGCCATCTTCCTCCCCGAACTCCGCGGTCACGGGCGTCCTCAGCCGTGGCCTGTGCAGGGGCCTTCGGCTGGAGCAGCGGTGCAGGGACAGGGCCAGCAGAGCACCAACCTAGGGACACAGAGCGCCTTGCAGTGGTGACGCCAGCCAGGTGGCGGCTACATCATCGGGGAACACAGGGGTCACTGGCCAGGGGGCGTCACGGCAGGACGGGGTGGGGGATGGCTTCATGTGCACAGCTCTTATTAAGTTAATCATTCTTAAAGTTTGTTAAAGTATTTTATTTCTTATTCTAAAAGCTCATATGAAAGCCACAGCTGCCGAGTGACAGTGAGCAGAGGCACAGATGTCCCCCAGCACTGCTGAGCCCTGCGAGCCTTACCCGAGGATGCCTGCCTGGGGCGTCCGGGTGCTCCTGGGTGGGGACACACTGGGCGGGCAGCAAATGTTCTACTTTTGTTTTTGCGTGAAATCTTCCAAAGCCACTACAATTCCCTGGTTGACATAGCTTGATTAGCTACCTATGGATTCCCCTGAGTGATGCATTCACATAACCAGTGGGCGGGCTGTCTGCAGAGCAGCCAGGTTCTCAGAACTACGGTCGTTCTGAATAAACACATAAAGCTTGTCGCTTTAAGGAAATCTCTCCTGTTTCCTGGGAGGTGGGGGGAGGAAACAAGAGGTCCCAGTGTCTCTGGAGCCCTGGGCGCCTGGACGAAGTGCCTCCAGATGGGCAGACACCTGCTCACTCCACCTCCACCTCCACCGGGTATGTCTCTACACAACTGCACTTTTTAGGCTGAAAAAACTCACTTTAATCTCTATTTCTTTATTGCTTGTTAGTTGGGATTATTTTCATGTCTATTTCCCTAAAAGGAGGTGTGTGACTGCTGTTGAAAATGAGCATTTTTGAACCACATGATGAGTTTGTCATTCATTTGTGTACGCTCATCCATCAGACATTATTGGGGCCCAGGGAGCCAGGCCCTCGAGCGAGAGTCTGCGCACAGAAACAGGAGCATGGCGCTGGGGCCCGGCCCCAACCCCCTTGACCTGGACACAAGCAGATGTGAAGCCTGTGTTCACAGCCCAGAAACGCTGGCACCTCCTCCCCGCGCCCCCACTGCCACACGCCCTCGGCTCTGGTCCCCTCGTGGCTCAGCCTCCCGGGACCCGTGGCCAGCCTCACCGTGACGCGCGCCCAGCCCACTCCGCCTCCGACTTCGATGGTGGGTCCAAGCGGCGGCACAGGAAGTGCTCACCTGGCCGGGAGCGCGTCCCTGCAGAAAGGAGCTCCTCCTGAAGAGCAGGAGCTGGCTCACGTAGCAGGGGCTGGGCTCCCGCCCGGCCAGGTCTGCAGGGAGGCGCACCTGGACGGGGCCCAGGCTCTGCACGGAGCTCTGAGGGTGGCGATGAAGCTGCGCCTGGACCTCCGTCTGCCCGGCGCTCACGTGGACCCGGTGCTCGCCGCGTGAGGACAGGCAGCCCTGGAACAGCACAGGTCCGATATTGACGGGCGGGACCACCTTCCGGATCAGACCCAAGAGGCAGAAACACCTGGAAAGGCCCGAGCCAGGGCTGGACCCCAGGACGGGGCAGCCCTGTGCCCGGGATGCGAGCTGCTTTTGTGTCGATGCGTCTTCCTGAGATGCTCCACTCACTTGTGCCCACAGCTGGCTCCGGGGGCGCCTCAGCCCCAGGGAGCCAAGACCTTGACTACTACATGCGGGACTGCCAGGGCCACGAGCACAGCGCCACGGGCGCAGAGCAGGCAGCGCGGGAGGTGCCGTCTAAATGTGCCGACTGCTGCTCGACTGCGGTCACTGGGCTCACATCGAACACCCGTTCACTCTCTCCTTTCCCCAGCATCACACCAAGTATCAGCTACGTGACCAGCAGGTCTGGGCAGGGGGGAGGATAAATGGGGACCGAGACATGGAAGCTTCTGGAAGGAACCCAACCAATCCTGACACACTGTCCTGTGGTCACTACAGCAGGAACACATAAACGACCGCTGGCGGCCAGGTCTGTCGGGGCTGCTTCCACATAACACCACCACCCACCCGCCTTACTCCCTGCGCCCCTCAGGGGACAGGCCCCCATGTCCCTCATGGAAACCCACTGGACCCAGGGGACGGGCAGGGGTGACATCCACTGCACATTGCACTACCCACGAAACACAGCTCACCGTGAACATTCCCCAAGACCAAGGTCCCCGGCATCGTAGCCATCAGACCCCAGGACCCCAGTTCATTGTGGGTTTTGAGAGCAATTACTAAGCCAGTTCCTGTCCGAGGGAGGAGCAGCTGTTACCCGAGGAGGAGGAGGACCGTACCAGCAGCACATCTGCGATGGCCTGAGCACCTTCCTCCAGCAGGCGGCCGGAGCTCCTTGAGTGACCGTGGTCGCTGGCCTCCAGGACCCCGGACACGAGAAGGATGAGCTCCCGCACCTGGCCCGCCTCCACCGCGCAGCCTGCGGGGGGCCGGCTGGGGGCCAGCAGCGTGTGTGCGCAGCCGAGGATGAGAAGAGCGCTTGCGAGGCTCATCTGCGTGGAAACAGGCAGGGGTAGAGGCCCCTCAACAGCGCCCACGCCACCTGGCCTGCCCTCCGGGAGGGACACCACACGCCAGGCAGGGAGGACGGGCCAGGTCCGGATCTGGATCGGCACCAACTTCACAAGTGACATTAACTCCCCAGAGTCTGTCCCCAGACCCGTAAAGTGACCAGAGGAGAATAGAGGCCTTGGCAAGCTAAGCGCGTCCCAGGGAACGTGGCTGGGCTGTTCGCTGCTCGCGGAGGTGACCCACATCGAAACGGTGACCTTCTGCCTGAACCGAACCTGCCTGCGGGTGCTCACAGGGCCCTCACAGGACTCGGAGCTGCCCGAGGTCCCTGTGAGGGAAGCAGCAGGGACACGCCTGGACCAAGGGACTCACCTTGTTGGGGAAGCGCAGCAGGTCCCTCAGCAGGAGGACAGAGTCGGTCGCTTCCCCCTGACCAGGAGAAACGGAAATGACAAGATGACAAGGCAGGGAGTCAGCCGTCAGTCACGGCCGCACGGCTCAGCTCGCTGTGCAGAGATGGAGCAGACCCCACGTTTGGGCTCAGACAAAGGGAGGCTGACATGGGAGAGACCGTCACCTCGGGCCCACATTTTCCAGCCTATGTGGCCCCCCTGCCCTGCGCCCGCTGGCTACCCCCTACCCTATCAGGAGGGGACTGAGGGCTCAGGGACCAGAGTACAGCAGGGGGAGCTGAGCCCCATGGTGACAATGGAGTGTGCCCTTAGATGTGGCTGTTGTTGCCATGGTGACAATGGAGTGTGCCCTTAGATGTGGCTGTTGTTGCCATGGTGACAATGGAGTGTGCCCTTAGATGTGGCTGTCCTCGCCATGGTGACAATGGAGTGTGCCCTTAGATGTGGCTGTCCTCGCCATGGTGATGCCACAGTGACGATGGCGTAGATGTGACTATCCTCTGTGACAGTGGCAGGACGGAGGCATAGCCATGCTGGTGAGGACAGTGCCACAGCAGTACGTGGTCGCTGCCCTGGAAGCCACAGAATCGTAAGCCTCACTGTTGAGCTGTTGTTACCAGGTGGGATTGGGTTGGGTTTATATCATTTTCTCCTACGTGGCTGATGTGGGTCTCTAGTAACCAGCCCACTGGTCTGTGAGACGTGTGCACAAGTGAGAGCCACAGCCCCACGTCAGCGCGCAGGCCGGCCCACCAGTCTCATGACTGATGGTACCTCACAGCACGACCACTTGCTAGCGAGCTGACCAGTCTCAGTCCCTGCTGCACAGACAGACCTACAGACACTCTGGGCCATACCTGGTCCTGGGGAGCTAATCTGCAGATTGAAGAAATGAACGCGTCCTGGATTCGGGACCACTGGCCACAGGAGGGGCTCCCGCCCTCCCTAGCCCAGCGACTCAGAACCCTGGTGGTCACGGCAACATAGTTCCTGACTTCCGTGTCACTGCCCATCTGCTGGAGGGTAGAGAGGTTCCTCAGGCTAGCATTGTACCTGAAGGACACAGAGCAGTTACCATGATCGTCCAACACGTTCAAAACGCTCCGGCCCACCCACCGCAAGTGTGGTATCCACGACAGAAACACTCTGGGGCGGGTCTGTGCAGAGGAAACGGAAAAGACACAGGGAGGAGTCACATCAAATCCTATGAACCTCCTTTTCAGAGCTGAACAGGCCCTAGAGCCACACAGAGTGACACAGACACATGGCAGGTGAAGGGAGTCAGTGCGAGCTGGACAGGAGACGCCGACAGCTGCAGGGGCTGGTGGTCCCATAGGCAGAGGTGATGAGCAGCACCCAGACCCACAGAGTGGATGGGATGATGCACATGGCCACGTGTGGTCAGTCCAGGAACATAGGAGTGATTCAGGGTGAAACCAATCTATGAAATGCACCAGATCAGCAGGCGGAAGGACAAGCCCTCATGATCATCTCAATGGATCTAGCAGAGCACTGACAAAATCCAATGGCCTTGGTGATAATGTCACCCAAATCCACGAGTGCAGGGCCTTCTCCCACCTGCTCACAGGCACCTGTGGAGAACCTACGTCAGCGCCACCCAAAGAGAGGCTGCGGGCGGACTGCCGCCTGCCCAGGCCTGGGGCAGGACCAGGATCTCAGCCTCTGCCACGTCTGCTCAGCGGAAAAAGCAGCAGGAGTGCGCAGCCGAGAGGGAGTGACACCCTCTCTCATCACTGGTGGCACGTCTCATTCACAGAAAACCCCATGGAATATGCTAGAAGCCCACCAGAGCTAGCGAGTGCGTGCAAGGCTGCAGGACACACGATCCACACGCAAGTATCAGTGTACACTACGGAAAACGCCAAGTAACTATGAACACAAGTCCATTTGTAGTAACATCAAAAAGAACAAAATACTTATGATCCATTTAACAAAAAGTTCAACGTTTGTACCCTGAAAACTGTACGATGTGACTGAGGAAAGCAAAGATCTAAGTCCACGGGAAACTGCTCCTGGTTAGAAGGCTCATGTCGCCAAGGCAGCAATGTTCCCAAGGGGACATCCAGGCTCCAGGCAACCATCAACATCCCAGGGGCTTTGGTAGAAACGGACCAACTATTAACCAGGAGGCTCAGAGTAACCACAACAACCCTGAAAACGCAGGCTCAGCTGCGGGTTCATGCTCCCCATTTCAAAGGTTACTTGGCACTCAGCAGTTGGACAGTGTGGTCCTGGTGTAAGAGACTTGAAAGTCAATGGAATAGCATTGACAGCCCAGAAATAGACACTAACGCTTGTGGCCCACTGACTTCTGACAAAGGGATGAAGACGGTTCGGGGGAGGGGACCTTTCTGGCCTGTGGTGCAGGGACACTGCTTGGCTACGTGCAGAAGCGCAGGCCTGGAGCCTGCCTCGCACCACACGCCCCAGCTCCAAGGCTCAGCTCCGTGAGGGAGACCGCGAGGCTCTCAGAAGAGGGCAGGAGTGACCGTCCTGGCCTGGGGTGGGTGGTAATTTCTTAAATGCACCAAAAGCACCAGCAGTAAGAGAACAGGTTGGACTTCATCAAACTTAAAACTTTTGTGTGTCAGTGACACCACATGGAAGAGAAAACCCAACCCGTGGCAGGAGAAATGTGCACAAGTCACTTCCCTGACGAGGGATGTCGCCAGAACATGAGGGACTCGCAGCCTCAGTCATGGAGAGGCAGCCGGTGAAGACCACGGTGTCAGGACAGACAGCGATGGTTCAAAGCCCGTGGACAGATGCCAGCACTGTCCGTCACCAGGGCCAGGCACAAAGCAAGCTGGTGGGCACGATGCGGGACCCACAGGTACACGAGCAGCCGCTTGGGAAAACAGTCTGGCAGGACCTCACAATGGTCAACACAGCATGACTGTGAGACCCGGCAACCACGCCCAGGAATCCACCTGAGACAGGAAAACACGTCCACATCTACGCTCACAACAGCACCGTTCGCACAAGCCATCAGCTGATGATGGAGAAAAACTGTGGCGCATCCAAGACAAACTGTCATTCAGTCACAAAGAGGAATGAGGTCTGGCAACAAGGATGCACCTCACACACGTAACAGGAAGTGAGTCCAGGAAGCCAGTCACAGAAGACCACCTGGGGCATCACCCCATTGACATAAAAGGTCCAGAATCAGCAAGTCTGGGGACAGAAGTGGGCTCTCGGATGAGACCCAGGGCTGGGGCTGGAGGGAGGAAGCTGGGTGGGGGCAGGGATGGGACCAATGAGAACAAGGACTGTGGAATCGATGAAATGTCCTTGTCTGGCTGAAACCGGTTTGGCTCAGTGGATAGAGCGTCGGCTTGCGGGCTCAAAGGTCCCAGGTTCGATTCTGGTCAAGGGCATGTACCTGGGTTGCGGGCACATCCCCAGTGGGAGATGTGCAGGAGGCAGCTGATCGATGTTTCTCTCTCATCGATGTTTCTAACTCTATATCTTTCTCTCCCTTCCTCTCTGTAAAAAATCAATAAAATATATTTAAAAAAAAAAAAAAAGAAATGTCCTTGTCTGGCAACTCTAAGTGTAGGAAACCCAAGGATGTGTGCACTGCAGACAGGCGAACCCCATGGTATATGAGTGACACCCCATGAAGAGTGAGCTGTGCGAAGAAAGACGACGAGCAGTGCAGTCCCAGAGCGCAAGCGGGAAGCCCGCGCAGACGTTGGGGACTGGGCTGCAGGCGCCACCAAGTACTCCACGGAGGCAGCTGGGGACACAGAGCCTCACTCACACATCCTCGCCGGGGCAGCAGTCCCCATGGAGACGGGGCAGCACAGTCACGGCCACGGCACAGGGCTGCGTCTGGGAGCCGTCACCATCGGTGATCACAGTGGACACCAGGACTGGAAGGGACAAGCAGAGGTCAGCGCCTGTGTCGGCAGAGAAACTTCTTCAAACGCAATGGCAAGGGAGAGACAGAGCCCAGAGGATCAGTCCCGACACCACTGGCCCATCTGTGTGCTGGGCGGTGACGGGACCTCCAGGAGGCAGAGCTGAGGCAACTCCACACGGATCAGGGCAGGGAGGGGGGTGCCTGCGTAACCGAGAGGGAAGCAGCCCGCAGAATGGGGTGGGGGCAGGCAGCTATCGTGCGGAGGGTCAGGAAATGAGTCATGGCGCACACGCTCACTCCCTGTCACTGGCCTGCACTGTGTACCCGAGGCAGCAAGATGCCAGGGTGACCAGGACCGCCCGTCTCAACCTCCCTGCCTACTCAGGACTACAGTCAAGTTAAAAACGTGGTGAGTGCCAAGCGGGCAAGGCCAGGGAGGGGTCCGCAGACCCCGAGGTGCAGGTCCAGGCTGGTACTGCTGGAACCAGGGCCGAGGGAGGGCAGGGCTACGGCAGGTCCAGACGAAGGCGTGGAGAACCCCACTGAAGTAATTTATGCACAGACATGGGCATGGCAGGAAGCAGCTTTTTGGGGACTCGGGAACTCCTTCCTGTGACAGGGCCAGGGTTTGTGGTGGGGGCCCTGCTGGGGAGGCGGAGCGGAGTCCTGCCCACCATCTGTCTGTCTGTCCGGGACTCACCTTGATAACCGTCCACGGGCTCCCCAGCTGGCAGTGCAAAGTAGTGCTGGGCGTCTGTCCCACGGTACAGGGTGTACTTGGAGGCGTTTCCTATCTGGTAACCAAACTCATAGCGGAAGTCCTGCGATCCGTTCCGTAGTGAAGGAAAGAGCACAGGTGAGCAAACAGCATTACCCCCAGTAAGTCCTCACACCCCGTCCTCACCCACCCAAGGTCAGGCACAGATGGGCTGGGGCAGGTACACGCGGCTGTGTCTGTCACTCTCGGCCGTGGGCCCTCCTGGCCGGGACCTGGGACAGTCACAGATGCACAGAGTCGGGGGGATGAGGACACTCGCACCCCCAGCGTTTCTTCAGAGGCAGATGGGGTCTATCCTTCAGGACAGACGGGGTCTGCGTGCTCACCGGTCTCCCCGACGTGCAGAAGACGCTGAAGACGGTGTCTGCCTCGAGGCCACGGTGGGGCTGCACCTGGCAGGCCACGTCCCGCGGAGCCTGGTTGACGGTCACATACAGCTGAGCCTTCCCTAGAAAGCTGTGCCCTGAAGCTGCAGAGAGAGGGGGTAGCACCTGCATGCTGGGAACCAAAGGCAGCCCCGGAGGTTCCCAAAGCGCAGACCGTGTGGCCCCCAGATCTGCGGCTTTGGTGTTGCTGTGACCTTGATAGACCGCGACCCCGGGCCACCCCAACCTGCTGGGTCAGACCCAGAGGGGCCGGCAACCTGCGCCAGCGCCTGTCTCAAGGGACGCTGGGCCCGGGACCCCTGCCATGCGGCACCCACTGATGCAGCACTATTTGGGTGCCCAAGACCCTGAGAGATTGGTGGACGGACGAGACCTGGGAGCCAGACAACAGCCTCGCCAGCAGAATCCACCCCCAGCAAACCAGACCCTCCACTCCCGCTGTGTGCAGCCCTGTCCGGAATATGCAAGTATCGCTGCTGACTCTACAGCACTGATAGGGTTTATATTTGGCTTCTATAAGCTGCACTGATACTGTAAATGTTTCCTGTGATGCCATACAGCATTCAAAATCAATGTCATAAATAAGTATAGTACAGTGGGGCCTTGACTTACGAGTGTCCCGACTAACGAGTTTTTTGAGATACCAGCTGTCTCTCCGCAGATTTTTTGCATTGAGTTGATAGAGTAATTTGAGTTAATGAGCTCCTTAACGAGCTCGGTCTCGGAACGAATTAAACTCGTAAGTCAAGGCCCCACTGTATTCTCTAAACTGCATAAAACGATTGTTTCCCAATGACTAAACATTTCATTTTCCATTACCCTGAAATGATAATTCTCATGCATAAAGTTGTTTTTTACTTTCGATGTCTTTTTCTTGAAATAAATTACAGGCACGAGTTACATGTGTTAAATTGTATAAAACTCCGAGGACGCTGACCCTCATCCTAACAGCAGGCACGCGGCTCAGCTCCCCGCCAGGCCCAGGGGCCACCTACCCACCACTGCTTGCAGGACGTATGTCTCTCCAGGGCGCAGTGAGTGCGGCTTCACTGTCACCGTCTGTCCCGTGACCCCTGCGGAAAAGGAGGGGCGGGGACCACTCGTCAGGGCACCCCAAGGGCAGCAGCTCAGACACACCCTTCCTCGGCCACTGCGGCTGAAGGAGGCAAAGAGGTCCCATTAGCCCTGCTTGTCTCACCTGGAAAGGCCACGTCTGTTCGTTACCTCCGGCCCCTTATTACAAAGCAAGAAGCTCATCTCTGCTCCTGCTCAGAGTCAAACGGAGCCCAGTCCAGGGGCCGGTCAGAAGGCCCTCGCCTCCCAGGAAGGAGAGGACTCTGGGAAGAACGCTGTCCATGTGTTTTGAGGAGGCCCCTCAACCAAGTGGGTCCCTTTCAAACGACATCCTAGTTCAGTGGTCGGCAAACTGCGGCTCGCGAGCCACAGGCGGCTCTTTGGCCCCTTGAGTGTGGCTCTTCCTAAGCCTTAGGAGTACCCTGATTAAGTTAATAACAATGTACCTACCTATAGAGTTTAAGTTTAAAAAATTTGGCTCTCAAAAGAAATTTCAATCACTGTCCTGTTGATATTTGGCTCTGTGGACTAATGCGTTTGCCGACCACTGGCCTAGTGTCTGCAGGAGCGGGAGGGACTCCTGGACCCGAGAGAGACTGCGGACCACGGGGCCCGAGATCTCAAAGACAGAGGCTCACTCAGCCGCCGCCATGCTCCTCGGGCAGCATCCTGCACTCAGTCTGCAGGCCTGGGGCCCACACCCCAGCAGACACACCCACACCCGGGGAGGCGCACCCACACCCGGGGAGGCACACACACACCCGGGGAGGCACACACACACCCGGGGAGGCGCACACACACCCGGGAGGCACACACACACCCGGGCACAACACACCACACCCGGGGAGGCGCACCCACACCCGGGGAGGCACACACACACCCGGGGAGGCACACACACACCGGGGGAGGCGCACACACACCCGGGGAGGCACACACACACCCGGGAGGCGCACACACACCCTGGGAGGCGCACACACACCCCGGCAGGCATACAGGATGCGTGCACAAGGGGGCGGCACTGTCCTCTGCGCCTGTGCCTGCTCAGCAGCCTCTTCCCCCTACTTTGCAAAAGGGGGGGACACCCGCAGGCCTGTGGCCACTGAGGGACGAGCACAACTAAAAAGGCATCGTGACCCCCAGTCTGTCTCTAGTCCAAGGAGAAGGCCCAGGAGAAATGGGGGGAGGGGGAGGCTGGTGTCGGAACCTCTGCGACCGCTAAGGTTCCAGGGCAGAGGGGCGCTCATACCGGACACGGTGTAGCCCTGAAAAACGGCTCGGCTCACGGGGGACTTGGGCCAGTCGACCAGGAGTGCAGGCCAGGCACTGGCGGTCGGGAGGAAGGGGCCCACCAGGTTGTCCCCATCCCCATGGCTCCCGTCCTCACTGGCACTGGGTCCTGACGCTGAGAGGTGCATGCTGGTCCCTAGGAGACACGCCGGGTCAGGGATGGCGGAGACAAAGGTGGCCATGGTTCCCTTAAAGTGCTAGTGGTTCAAGGCTGAGATCAGTGCTGCCCACTCTCTCGGGACCCGCTTGTCTAAACGTCTCCGACGGCACATAGGACAAATGTCGCCTCGCACGATCAGTGGTTCCGCGGCATTTCCTCAGCTCACATGTGCTTGGGTCACAGCCAGGAGTGAGTCTACAGGAAACACCACGGCAGATGGAGTGGACCCTGCCATGTGGACGTCTAGGTGAGGATGTCGGGAAACACTCGAGGAGACACACCACGAGCAGAGGAAAGCTGGTGACAGAAGTGCTCTGGGGAGACAGAGCAGGCGCACAGAGGGGCTGGGACGGGCCGTTCTAGAGCCGGGTGGGCAGCCCGGGGGAGAGGCTCAGACAGAGGGAATGGGCTTTAGAAAAAGCTGCTCAGGGAGGGTCTGGGTGTGGCTGGAGGGGAGCAGGAAAGAAGAGATGAGACCTCAGCTCCCTCCGTCGTCCCCCGTGTGGGCCCTGGGAGGCAGGCCTGGCGTGCTGGGCCGGGCTGGGTGTGTGAGGTGACTGGGCCGCGGGCCTGGGCAGAGAGACAATGTCTGTCTGTCCAGCAGGGGGAGGGTGCCAGGCTTGCTCAGGAAACGCCGACTTTGGACTCCAAACAAATGCCGTTAAACAAGGTGAAATGATAAAGTGGATCCATGTTGGGGTTAGAAGGACTGAACCATCAGGAGGAGTGACTTGTGAGCGCAGGCCTTTCCCTCATTCAACGTTATTTATGAAGCGCCTGCTGGGAGTGTGAAGTGAGCCCCTCACGGGCCTGGGGGAGCAGAAGGAGCATGGGGTGGTCAGAGGAACCAGCATCCAGGCTGATCAGGGGGACGGCCAAAGAGCACAGCACAGTGAGTCATAAACAAAGGGCTCACTGACCACCCATCTGGTCATGCGGTAGACAAGTCACTCTCGCTCACTCAATATTCATTCAACAAACAAACTGTCCGCGGCTGTGCATCTATTACGCATTGTTCATGGGCTGGATGAACCACTCTCTCCTGGTCATGCGTTGTCAGCGAGAACATGCGCACTGAGGGCCAACACAAGTGTACAGCTGCCTTGGAAACCTTCCCTTCCCAGACAAGAGGGAGCTAAAGGAGTTCATCACCAACAAACCGGTGTTACAAGAAACTTAAAGGAACTTCTTTAAAAGAAGAAGGAAAAAAAAAGATCAAACTATAAATAATAAAATGGCGGAAATTACATGTCTGTCAGCAATCACTAGGTGTACATGGATTAAATGCTCCGACCAAAAGATGTAGGATGGTGAATGGACAAGAAAGCAAGACCTTCACATGTGCTGCCTACAAGAAACCCACTCAGATCCACAGGTGCAGGCTGTGAGTCGAGGGTGGAAAAGATATTTCATGGAAATGGGAACTTGAAAGGCGGGGCAGCAGTAACTATACCAGGACATTTAAAATGAAGGCTATACCACAAGATAGAGAAGGGCCAGCAACTCTACTTCTGGGTGCTTATCTGAAGAAACCCAAACACTATTCAAAGAGACGTGTACACTCCTGTAGTCACTGCAGTGTTTTTACAGGAGCCAAGGCGTGCACGCAACCGAGTGCCCAGCAGTAGACGCGCATATAGGATGGAATATGACTCGGCCGTAGGAAAGGGTGAAATCTTGCCATTTGTGACAGCATGGAGGGACCTCAAGGGTACTGTGTTGAGTGAAATAAGTCAGACAGAGAAAGATAAATACCATATAATTTCAATTATACGTGGAATCTAAAAAAACAATGAACAGAAAGACTCATAGATACAGAGAACATACTGGTGGTTGCCAGAGGAGAGCGGTTGGGGGATGGGTGAAGAAGGTGAAGGGATTGAGAAGCACAGATTGGCCCTGGCCAGTGTTGCTCAGTGGATAGAGCACCGACCTGTGGACTCAAGAGTCCCGGGTTCGATTCCGGTCAAGGGCACATGCCCCGGTTGTGGGCTCTATCCCCAGTGGGGGCATGTAGGAGGCAGCCGATCAATGATTCTCTCTCATCATTGGTGTTTCTATCTCTCTCTCTTTCCCTTCCTCTCTGAAGTAAATAAAAATATATTTTTTAAAAAGAGAAGCACAGATTGGCTGTTACAAAATAGTCACGGGGCTATGAAGTACAGCACAGGGAATATAGTCAACAGTATTGTAATAGCTATGAATGGTGCCGGGTGGGTACTGGAAATATCAGGTGGACCACTTAATAAAACATATAAATGTCTAATCACTATGGTGTGCACCTGAAATTAATGTCATATCCTGTCAACTAAAATGGAAAAATAAAAATTATTTTAAAACAGGAAACATGCCTTGCAGAGCAGAGTAAAGAGACAGAAAGAGTCCGAGGACAGGGGGGTGGGGGTACACACTCTGGGCTGGGGAGGGGCGGTGAGGTGAGGCCTGGGGAGGAGCGCCGAGGGAGGCCTGTTGGCAGATGCCGCCCATGTCCGAGGACGGGAGAGGGGCAGTGTCGGGGCCTGGGCTCCCCAGCAGGTGAGCTGGAAACAGGGCCAGACCGTGCCACCCAAAGCGGCGCAGACCGCCCTCAGCCTTGGAGCACAGGGAGGGGCCTGGGTTCAGAGGAGAGCAGACTCACAGGCAGCCGGCTGCCGTCCTCTCGAGGGCACCGCTTCTTGGACGTCACTGTAATAGGCCTCAAAGTCTGCGTGAAGGACAGAATGAGAGTGTTTCCCGTAAACCAGGCTCCCCTGAAACACACAGGACCCCGAGGGAGCACACACGTCGCCCTGGGCCACCTCAGGGCCCCAGCCCTGCTCTGCGGGCACAAAACCCCCAGAGGCCACGCCCAGCACATGGGACAGTGGGGAGGCAGTCGCTGTCCCTGCTCCCCCAACGAGTAGGCTCCGTGTGATTAGTTGGGGGGATGCCGAGGCCCAGAACTGTCCTCCAGGGGCCTCACTCTTGTCTCCCATGGGAGACACCGATAGGAGTGTCCGGCTGCCACTGTCACCTTTCTGTCCCCAGGCATTTCCCTCCTACACTTGAGGGGTTCATGGAGGCTCTCCCACCAACAACCCCAAGGCTGGGACTCTGGGGTGCAGCCCTTTGCCAGGGCACAGGACCATGACCCTGAGCGGCCACGCTGGATAGCATCAGGGAGGGACAGGGGGCAGGTGAGTGCTGGGCCAGAGCCTGGATCACTGACAAGGAATGTCTCTCACCTTCTAGGCACTGAAATAGCTCCTGTCCCACCTGAAAGCGGGGACACCGGGCACCCGTGGTCATTGGGGAGGAAGGATGAGGAGGTGGTGTGGGCAGAGCCTGGCTCAGTCGACTCTCCTGGACCCGTCAGAGACGAACACCAGGCCCGGAGGGCACCCCCAGGGCGAGGGCAGGTACCAGTGAGGGGACAGCACTTACCAGGGGGGTGAGGGGTTGGGCTCCCCAGGGACCCCTCATCCCAGGGATCCCCTTCTGGGGCCACAGGGTCACCAGCAGCGGGAACTTGGGGTGCGGGGACCATGGACTCCGTGGAGGCTCTCCCCGTGGCTGAGAGGTCAGCCCGGCCCAGGGTCCAGGGCCGTGGCTCCCGTGCGAATGGCACAGGCGTGGCGTGGGGCTCTGCCCTCCGTGGCCTCGGGGACCGTGGGTAGGACTCGGGAAGCTTCAACACAGACCCCAATCCTGAGGAGCCCAGCAGCCCCACGGTTCTGCAAAAGGGAACTTGAACACAGAAGACATTTGGTTTCTCTACGTGTACAGATTCCACGAGCATGTTCTGTCCTGAACAACCACCACATGAAAACTGCACCTAGAGGTGTCGCGGGGCAGGCCGGCTGCTGGGAGGCTGGCCCGTCCATCTCCCCTGGGTTCGCCTCCCACAGGTCCCGCCACACGCTCTGCACCCCACTGGGGCGTTCACAAGGATGCTAGAAACTTCTGGGCGCATGGAGCCTCTCCTGACCCGCATTCACCTGCCCGTGCCACAGGACTTAGGAAACAGGGTCAAGAGCAAGGAACAACTTTGCAAGGACGTGGAAGTAGAGCCCACAGCCCTGTCAGCATCCCTGTCGCCACATGAGTCAGATTCTGTGAGAACAGGGCTGGGCCACACCCGAGAGGACGAGCGCTGGCCATGGAGAAAGGGCAGCCACACGGTGACCCCGCGCCCTGGGACACTGAGTACAGGCTCGGCTTCAGACCCACACGGTCACCGGCCAGATGGCACGCGACCCTCCGTGTCATCCTGTTCCTTCAACACAGGGCCACTCCCAGTGTGTAAGCTTCCCGTGGCGCCGAGGAAGCATAAACACGTGAGGAGTGTGGGCGGCACCGCCCTGCTGAGGGCCGCACAGCCAGCTCAGAACACAGCCCCTCCGCTGTCCGGTCCCCGTGGCCCCCGCACGACATCACCCCCGGCCCAAAGCCAGGAGCCTGCCACCCACACCCGCGCCCGCCACCAGGGCTGTGTTCCCACATGTGACTTCTCGTGACTTTGCCTCCTTGCAAAGTCTTAGGACTCACATTTTCCACCCAAGAAAAGAGTCTCAGAGCAGCGCTCCCATCACAGCCGGTGTGCGGAGCGAGGACCACCTTCCACGGCTCTTGGTCCCACGAGTGGCCCCGAGGACAGCAGGAGGGGAGGGACAATGGCCCCAGCAGAGTGGTGGGGGCGTGTGCTATTTCAAAGCACCCAGTGCGTTTGTCACCCGGGAGAGCTGCCCCAGTGGGTACAGCGCAGCCCAGGCTGAGAGCAGCAGCTGAGGCTCCTCGTCTCGGCTGTCACCGCCGCCCTCCCAAGTGTGAAGCCAGGAGGGACTGGGGACGAATAGCTCATGGCCGAGACCAGACACGTTGGGTCAAACCAATTAGATCTCACGCATTTTAGCAATCTCAAAATAACCGCTCCGCCAACAAAGCCAAGCATCGCATGCCCTCACTTGCTTGGCTCAGCAGGTAGAGCGTCGGCCTGTGGACTGAAGGAGTCCAGGTTTGATTCTGGTCAAGGGCACATACCTCGGTTGCAGGCTCAATCCCCAGCCCAGGTCAGGTGCTTGCAGGAGGCAACCATTCGATGTGTCTCTCTCACATCCATGTTTCTCTCTGTCTCTCCCTCTCCCACTTCCTCTCTCTAAAAAAATAAAATGAAAACGAAGCTGGTCTGTACCTTCCTCTCTGTCCCTTCCTGTCGCGTTGACCAAAAAGAGGTCCCAGGAGTAAGAGAGGGCCGCCTCCCCGCAGTCTTCACAAGCCGCCCGCAGCGAAAGCTCCTCGTTCCAGTTCACAGGGACGCCTCGGAATGTCTCCCAGGAGATGTGCACACGCCTGCAACGTGCAAACCAGGCCGGAGCTCCAGAAAACAGGGCAAGACGCTCTGGCCGCATTTTCCAGGTCAGGTTTGTTCAGATCACCTGGTCCCGGGGGCTGATGCACCACCTCACCCCACCACTCAGGGAAGCTCTGGAGCTCACCCAGCGCAGGCTGTGACCACGAGGTGTTTTTACACAAGTAACTGCCCAGACCCCCTGCAGGATCCAGGGACGGAGGCCGCCTGCCCGGTGTCCCGTGGAGCTGAGGGCACTAGGCGGCACCCACCCCCGCCCACCAGGAGGCCAGAGCAGCTGTGGCACACGCCGACCTGCATTCAGGGTCGGGGGCTGGGCGTGGCCCTCGGTGCCCGTGGCCTCCGTGGCCTCCGTGACGTCACACTCAGCTGACAGGTGCCTCCCCCCTGTGGGCCCATGGTGCCCAGTGGCGCCTGGAGGCCAGGACAGAGGCCCTGAGACACTCAGCCTCTGTGCCCTCGGCCCTGGGCCCTGGAGCCAACCCCGTCTCCAGGCAGCTGCTAGGAGGCGAGGGCACCTCCCCCTTGGAGCCCCATGTCAGCACAGCGGGTCGGTGTCTGAGCCCATCTCCCACGCGTACACAGTGGGTTTGTCGGTGTCTGAGCCCATCTCCCACGCACACAGTGGTTTCTTTGGTGGCTCCCACCCCCCCAGCCTGGCTTGGGGCACCCAGATGGGCATTGTGGGGCAGCAGGGCAGCTGGCACCTGAGCGCCACGTCGGGGAGGGTGGACAGGAACACCTGCGCCTCGGAAGAGTTCCGGCCGTGGCTGGACACTGTCAATGTCACAAGAAACTGGTCGTAGCCACTGCTGAGAGAGTCCGCTGCGAAGGACAGGGTGGGCGCCCCGGCATCCGGGCTGCGTGGAGAGGGCCCAGTGAAGCAGGGGCGGCCGGGGGCACTGGCTGGGGTGCACGCCCAGTGATACCTGTGGGGAAGCGATGGAGGGGCTGACGTGCCGGGTCTGGTCAGTTAGCGACCGTGGTGTCACCAAGTGGCTTTCCTGGGGGGCCTGCTAGGGAGCAGCGGATGGTTCTCAGGGGTGCATGTTCCAGGTTACCGACGTGGACGGTGTCAGTGGAGTGTGGACAGTGTCCATGGCAGGACACTGGGTCAGGCACCCAAGGATGGGGAGTGGGTGGAGATGAGGACCAAGGCCTGAGCCCAGGGCCCCGACACTGAGGGACCCAGCACATGGAGGCTACTCATGTTTATTTCTGCCCCTTTCCAAAGCTCCCTTACGTTCTGATCCTAAATGAAACACTACTTTGATAAAAGTCTAAGTCCTTAAAATTGTGTAGATTATAACTCAGCGCCCCAGAGCTGAGTGTGGAGAGGGCAGAGGAGGAGAAAGGCTGGGACGAGGAGGAGGGGCCCCACAGCCCCAGTGCTCACCTGAGAGTGGCCCCGGGCCTGTCGGGGTCGTAGGACAGGGACCCCCTGAGGACCATGGTAGACAAGGGCGTCCTGGGGACGAACAGGTGTGTGCCCTCAGAGATCACGCTGACAGGTGCCCGGGCACGCACCTCCACTCCCACGCAATAGTTGCTGTGCACGGGACTGCCTCGCACCTGCACCTGGAACGTAGGCAACAAGGGGGCGTCAGTGAGGCAGGCAGGGTGCCCACTAGAGACAGAAGGGCTGGAGTCTAGGAGCAGCAGGCCCACTGGGGACAGAGGGGCTGGAGTCTGGGAGCAGGAGGCCCATTGGGGACAGAGGGGCTGGAGTCTGGGAGCAGCCCACTGGGGACAGAGGGGCTGGAGTCTTAGAGCAGCAGGCCCACTGGGGACAGAGGGGCTGGGGTCTAGGAGCAGCAGGCCCACTGGGGACAGAGGGGCTGGAGTCTGGGAGCAGCAGGCCCACTGGGGACAGAGGGGCTGGAGTCTGGAGCAGCAGGCCCACTGGGGACAGAGGGGCTGGAGTCTTAGAGCAGCAGGCCCACTGGGGACAGAGGGGCTGGGGTCTAGGAGCAGCAGGCCCACTGGGGACAGAGGGGCTGGGGTACAGGAACAGCAGGCCCACTGGGGACAGAGGGGCTGGGGTATAGGAGCAGCAGGCCCATTGGGGACAGAGGGGCTGGGGTATAGGAGCAGCAGGCCCAATGGGGACAGAGGGGCTGGGGTATAGGAGCAGCAGGCCCATTGGGGACAGAGGGGCTGGGGTACAGGAGCAGCAGGCCCACTGGGGACAGAGGGGCTGGGGTACAGGAGCAGCAGGCCCACTGGGGACAGAGGGGCAGGAGTCTGAGAGCAGGAGGCCCACTGGGGACAGAGGGGCTGGGGTGCAGGAGCAGGACCATTGTCCTCTCCGTGTGTGTTATCATGAAGCTGGGGTTCTGGGTCTGGGGACATAAGAACACCCAACTATTCCCTGGTTTATAACCTCTCTGCTGACAGTAAATTTTCCCATGGTGTTGATTTTGTTTAGCTTACCCTTGCTTAAGCTCCCTTTCTAACCCCAAACATATCATGGCCTTAAAGGAATGCCAGGGATTTAAGAGAACCCTCCTCTGGGACAGACCGGTCCAGGTCCCAGGGTCTCTGAGACTGATGGGAAGGGAGCATGAGCTTTGGCAGGTGCCACCTCCAGCTGCTGCCCACCTGGGCCAGCGCAGTGTAGTTCCCGGGTTCCAGGAAGTAGTGGGGGACAGTGAAGGTCTGCCTGTGGGTGCTAATGGCAGGAGGCAGGGGCACCGGCGACCCCGCGGAATTGGTGAGGCTCCAGCTGTAGGAGAGGCCTTGGGAGATGTCACAGAGAATGGCGGCTTCGAAGGTCACTCCCAGGGTCACAGGCTGGGACCGCCACACCTGCGTGAGGAGAAAGATGTCTCTTTAGAAATGCGTCTACCTGGTCCAGAGGAAGTGGTTCAAGATGCAGGACTTCAAGTCTGTGTCTGTGTGATCACAGTCAGTGAGAATAAAGACTTATACACTCAATGAGAAAAACCCCTATAAGCATAAATTAATGGGAAAATATGAAAGGAAAAGGTCAATAGATTTGAATATATAAACATTTTAAACTTTGAATATAAAAATATTATTTAAAAAAGCAATCAGAGAAAAAGGGAAATCATTTGCAAAATATATGACAGGGTTAATATTTAAAATCAATAGAAAATTTTCAAAGTCTCCAACAGAAAACTGAGCAACTGATCATTGGAAACCGAGCAATTGATCACTGGAAACAAAAGAAAGTAACTGCATTTCAAACAAGTAACATAGAATGAAGATGTGTTTCAAGTGACCTTAATATACAGCATTTTGAGGCTCTAGTCCAAGCATGTCAAACTCAAAGGCTAACACGGACCAAATAAACGAGGTGTGCGGCCCACGGGCGTCTGGAGCACTAAGAGACGATGTCGACAGCCCATGGAACAACGGAACAAAATATTCCCGAGGACTGTCCTTCAGGTGCAGTGCAAGTGCAGATCCTGCCCAGTGGAACGAACGCCCACGCTGGCCACAGGTGCAGGGCGCCCCCTGGAGGACGTTTAGGGAAGCTCTCCCGTTGAAACTGGAAAGAACCGAGTCTGGAGCTGGGAAGTAGGACTTTAAACAACACCTTGGTATTTGTTGCAAACAACTTTACCTTTGGCTTTCTTTAAATGACTCTAGTCATTACCGAAATTACTTTACAATTGTGCTTATTGTTTCTATCCTGGATATGAGCGATCCCAGCATTTGTCACTTCACAGCCCAGATTTGTGGGCACCTAACACTGAGATGCTGATTCTTATCCCAGTGATCATAACACACAAAACTAGGAAATGCCTGGGGCGGGAGTCGGCTCTGAGAGGCTGACATGTGGGCCAGGCTTCTCCAGGCCCAGGGAGATGTGAGGTCCTGGGGCTCAGGACCTGGAGGGAGAATCCCATGGAAAGGCCACGGGCCCTGGCCTGGCCCTGGGCGTGTCTGTGCTCCCTCATCTCCGTGGCCACATCAGGGCAGGAGGCGCCCGACCTAAGACTCGGGCCCAGTGACCAGCCTCTTGCTAGAAGCCACGGAGAGCTCCTGGCAAATGCAGCCACGCCACAGGCTCCCGTGCGTCTGTGTGGGCACTCTGACCCTAAAAAGGGGAAGTTGCTCCAAGTCAGAAGCCTCAAGGGGTAAAAGGACTAGAAAGCAGCCCTAGTTTTGTACCCACAGCAGGTGCTCACCAAGCAAATGACCACCTCCCGGCTCTCCTTTCTCCTGAACACACTCCAGCTCCTAGCACAGGGGTCTTACCAGCTCGTCCAGATGCACTGAGCCGAACCCAGAGTAATGCGCGAATGGAGGCAGACTCAGAGGCCTGAGGCAGGCGTGTCCCTCCCTGGGGCCGGTCGACTCCGGGACCTCGGGAGCCCTCCCAGGTGCCCTCATGACCAACGCAGGGGGCTGACCTGGAGGAGCGCCCCTACTCGCCCCCCCTCCTCCCCGGAGAAAGGCTGACTTTGGTCAGTGACTGCAGGCCTTACCTGCACCTGCCCCGGCCCCATGTTCTTCACAGGGGGCGGCTGGCAGGGCCTGCGCACGACGAAAAGGTGCTTCCTCAGGGAGACGGTGCTGACGGCATTGAAGGCGACGACCTCAACCGTGAACTCTCCTTCCCTGGGAGGAGACAAACACAGACACGGAGACACAGAGTCCACCCCGGAAAGCGGCCCTTCATCCTCACACCCAGCGGGTCTGTGTGTCACGGTCAGGAGGCCATCCCAGAGGCCACCATGCCCATCCATAGGCAGCTGCCCGCCCAGCACAGGCCGGGACAGACACCGAACCCAGACTGCTGGCACCTGCTCTGCAAGGAGCAAGCACCTACAGGGGACATGCTGCCTCCCTCCTAGGAGCCCCACCCACAGCAGGGCTCGCCTCTGTACCCCTCAGGGACACCCTCAGGCCCCCAGGTGGTGGGCATCCGGACCTGGGTCTGGGGACCTCCGGACCTTCGTGTGCTCTGTTTCCTGTCCTGGAGGTGGCAGACCCCACCGCCTGGAGGCAAGGTCGGCCGGGGGGGGAAGGGGGGGGGGCGGGCAGAGGGGCCCAGCTGGGTGAGAGGCAAGACCGGGAAGGGTGTGGCAGGTAGTTGCTGGCCAAGACGTGGTGCTTTCTGAGGAAACACATGTTTGTTCTGCAAATGATGCCCGTGGGCAGGCACTCAGGACTGCAGGGGTCGCGCATGGAGGTCCCGGAGCACGAGAACGCGGGTCCTGCTGACAGTGCGCTCACCTGCTGTAGACGTGGCTGGCAGAGCTATTCCCCAGGCCACCAGTGCCATCCCCAAAGTCCCAGCGGTAAGCCACGTCGGTGCCAAAGCTGACTCTGAACTGGAAGGTCATGGGAGTGTTCACCAGAGCCGAGTCCGCGGCCACGAGTCCGCTGGCCACCACTCTCCTCTGCACCTGGACACGGCGGGGCTCTGAGACCACGCTGCCCATTCCATTGGAAGCCTGCACCACCACACGGTACCTGCGGGGGGACAGGAGGGTCAGGTGGTGACCAGCGCCAGGTCAGAGACAGACTCTGAGAGAAACTCCACCGTCTCCCAAGAAAGGCGGGAGCTCGCGGTCATCTTTAGGAATGATGGGAGCGCCCGGTGGTTGCGCCTCACTGGGCAGAGGGGTGACACCTTGGCCTTCCTCTTGATCGTGGAGGCACCAGTCACGGCCATGGAGAGACTGCCACCGTCCTTGCAGGAGGAACACACTTAGGCCGCATGGGGCGGAATGGCACCTGCGCCTGGACTGCCTGGTTTCAAGGCCCCACCCTCTGCTGCGGCCTTCAGATCTACGTGTGTGACCAAACCACGGGCAGCACTCTGTGTGAGGGTGACACGACCTCATGTCAGCGCCAGCTTGGCATCTGCAGGCTGCGCTGCGCCTGCCACAGCTGCCCGTGGTGAGGACCACTACGCACCACTGGGGGACACCGAGCCTTCTCTGGATGCTCCTGCGCCTGGTCCTCATGGGCAGGTCTTCTCCGAAGAACCACGTGAACTCCAGGGGAGTGGTTTCCTTGGTAACGGCCACAAAAGTGATGTCGGTGTCAGTGGCAAACACAGTTCCATTGGTGTAGACAGAGACGGCTGTGACAGAGGGTGTAAGGGAGTACCTCAGCGGGAGGGCTGGGATCTGCCAGGGAAGTCGCGTCCCCACCTTCCCGCGTGGCCACGGGCATCTGGACGCCTGACTGTACACGGAGCAGTGGTGGGCACCTGGGGGCACTGGGCCCGAGCTCATCAGGGGACCCGGCCCCTCTGCTGACTCTGCATGGAACCGCCCACCTGCTCATGCCTCCGGGTCTGTGGTTCATGGCGAGTGGGGCCAGGGCAGAGCGAACCACAGACCTGGTGCTGCCATGGCCTTCACCTCAACTGACTGCAAAGGGTTCATTAGACCTGGAGTTAGAACAGAAACGTACGCTGCATCCGATATCGCACGGCCATGCTGGACCAGGCCCGCCTGCCCCCCACGTGGGTCTGCAAGGCGAAGGACACGTTACAGGAGGAAGTGGATGGAAAACAGTGGGAAACGGTGGTGCCTGGAAGGAAAGTGAAAGGCAGAGGGAGACCGTCTCAGAGCTGCTTCCCTTGTCACACATGCCCATAGTTCCCATTCTTCCATCTTCTCTCCTTCAATTCCAATACATTCAAAATTCAAAGTTTGTGTTTTGGAAACAGACAGGCCTGGGAAACATGTACTTTGTCACAAAATTTCTCTCAGTAAAATGTTAAGTGTTGCCCGGCTGGTGTTGCTCAGTGGTTAAGCATCGACCTATGAACCAGGAGGTTACAGTTCGATTTCCGGTCAGGGCACATGCCTGGGTTGTGGGCTCGATCCCCAGTGTGGGGCATGCAGGAGGCAGCCAGTCAATGATTCTCTCTCATCATTGATGTTTCTATCTCTCTTTCCCTCTCCCTTTCTCTCTGAAATCAATAAATATATATATATATTTTAAAAAGTTAAGTGTTTTCTCTCTGGAGAGGGCCCTGCCTGGATGCTGTGTCGGTGCCTTTGAAATGGTTTGCTTCTGTGTTGCATGGGGACTTGTGAGGATGTGGACGCCCAGAGCATGGGGCCGGGTGCCCAGCGCCCAGGTGCACGGCTTACTTCTCAGATCCGTGGGGGAGCCCCCGAAGGCACACATGGAGCCCCTGAGGCCACTGCTGGCATTCAGGAACACAGATGTGGCCTCGGGGCCCAGTTCCACGTAGTAAGGTCCAAGTCGCACCTCAGCTCCGTGAGACTCGCTGTAAAGGACCGTCTGGAGCGCGTAGACACCTTCTGCACAGAGAAGAAGGTGGTTGCTTGGGGAGTGTGACAAGCACGCACAGCAGCTAACACTGTGGCTTGGCCGGGGGGCAGGGGCGGGGGGACCAGCATGTGAAATGCCATGACACACAGCGGCCACACTGTTCCTTTCTCCTGTGGGAACAGGGCCGACTCGTGGGCTTGCTCCCCTGCTGTGGCTCAGCCCCCCAGTCCACAGGGCGCAGCACGTGGCTTCACACTCTGCTGTCTCACACTCTTAGGAAGGTTATTAACAAGGGGTGGCATCTTCATTTTGCCTTGGGCCCTGAGGATTACGTAGCTAATTCTGTGTGGAAAAGTCGCAAGAATGAAAATAGATGTTGGCCTCCCACAGCTGGGCAAGAAGACACTTCAGTAACCGTCCAGTGGAAATGGACTGTAGGACCATCACGGCAGGCTATGGAGTGGCCCCGTGCTTCCTGGCTTCGCACCGGATGACACGACCCCGTAACCCTGCAGGCTGCCCTGCTCAGGCTGGCCATCTCCACCCCGTGAACTGGTGCTAGACTGTGCAGGTGCCTGCGCATGGATGGCTCTCCTCAGCTGTGTTTGTGTGAAGAAGCTGGCTAGCCCGCTGAGTCACACGAGACCCCTGACTGACGTCCCCATCGCCCTGGTGACAGCCAGCCCACCGCCAGGAGCAGCCTCTGATGGAAACCGCCTGAGAGGAGGAGCTCCGGGCTGCGGGCGGTTGTAACACGGCGGCAGGTAATGACCGTCAGCAACTCCCTAATCCAGTGATGGCGAACCTATGACACGTGTGTCAGAGGTGACACGCGAACTCATTTTTTTGGTTGATTTTTCTGTTAAATGGCATTTAAATATATAAAATAAATATCAAAAATATAAATCTTTGTTTTACTATGGTTGCAAATATCAAAAAATTTCTATATGTGACACGGCACCAGAGTTAAGTTAGGGTTTTTCAAAATGCTGACACGCCAAGCTCAAAAGGTTCGCCATCACTGCCCTAATCCCAACCCCACCTGTGGGTTTTCACTTGCTTATCTGACTCCCAGCTTTAACATGTTAGGTCTGTGGTCGGCAAACTGGGGCTCGCAAGCCACATGCGGCTCTTTGGCCCCTTGAGTGTGGCTCTTCCTAAGCCTTAGGAGTACCCTAATTAAGTTAATAACAGTGTACGTAGCTACATAGTTTAAGTTTAAAAAATTTGGCTCTCAAAAGAAATTTCAATCGTACTGCTGATATTTGGCTCTGTTGACTAATGAGTTTGCCGACCACTGGCCTAGACAAGTCTCAACTGGGCTGACTGGGCACTTCAAGCCTCTGCCACGTACCTGTTCCATGCCAGTAGCTACCTCAGGAATGTCCTCATGGAGATGACAGAAGCACAAGAAGAGCAAGGCCTCTCGAGCTGTAGACTTAGAAGCACCACACTTTCACTTCTGCCTCATTCTATTCCCCAAAGCCAGGCACATGGTCAAGTCAGGAGACAGAGGCAGAGGACACTTCAAAGTTAAATGCCCAAGGGGGGGGGGGGTGGATGCAGAGAGGGTAAAAGATCATCCAACCCATCAGCAAGACCTATCAATTCTACCTTAGAAGTACTTTGCACACCTGTCCAATACTCCTTCTATCTTATTGCTACCACCACTTCAGTTCACCATGATCTCTCTTACCTATCACCACCTGACTGCTCTGTCCAAATCTTTCTTGCCCATTCCTTCTCAGACCATTCTCAATGCAGCAATGAGAATCAACTTAAAAAGAAAACCTGCTCTGACCACTCATTTAATTAAGTCTGCCAAATGGTTTCCTATTGTTCTCAGGATAAAGGTGAAAATCCTGACAAAGGCCTGAATTGTTTTCAATTTTCAATGGAGGGGTTGTTTTAAAGCAAATAGATGAACTGGGTGAAAGGGAGAAAGAGAGTGAAGATGGAGTGTGGGAAAGAGAGGCTTTGTAATGACTTCCATGTGAGGACAGCCTGGGACCCCTGTCTCCAACCTCATCTCCTTCCATCCTCTCTTTCACTTTATGGTTGGAACACATCCTAATTCCCCAACTTGTACACTATGTCAAGCCTCCGGGGTCTTGTGTGGACTGCTCTGGAAGAACTGCAATAATAAGCTAGAGATTAGGATGAGATAATAAGTAGTCAATATACCCATAGCTCTCCCAATATGCTCTCTTGATGTTCTCACCATCTTTTTATCTAGATAAACATGTGCACATGGTTATGCCAGGGTGAGGTGAGAGTAGTCTACAGGTGTGACAACTCATCCGAGAGGTTTTTGAGCCTGAGTCTGAGATACAACTGTTCAGTGGGCTTTGCGGAGAAGAAATCTAAGAGGATGGGGTCAGAGGAATGGGTTGGAAAACATACCCATGGTGCAACTTCTTCACTAAGTTAGGCAACCCGCTCTCTGGAAAAGAACTATTAAGCCAAGACTTTCTTCAGGACCGAGGCTGAGCAGAGATGCCTTTTAGTCCACAGGGAGTTCCCCTGTGATTCTTTCAGAGTTTGAGAAGGCTTCTCAGCAGCTAGGCACACATCACCTTATTCCCTGTCTCTTCTCCCCAATTTTCTCGGGGGAATATTTCTGAAGATTAGAGACATGGAAAGAAATGACATACTCTCCTTTTCTCTCTCCTCATGTAGGGATTTCACAATGGAACTACAGGGGTCCTGTAGAATTCTTTCTCTCTCAGTGATCCACAAGAGACAACTGTGAGTGCTTCAACCTCAACAAGTGGTCTTAGTTGAATCTACAGAAAGAAGAAGGTGATTGAAACTCTCTACTTTAGGCCCTAAAAAAAAAGAGACGAGAGGAGTGTAGATTGGTTTGGCTCAATGGATACGGCATTGGCCCGGGGATTGAAGGGCCTGAGGTTCGAATGCAGCCCAGGACGAGAGAGAGAGAGAGAGAGAGAGAGAGAGAGAGAGAGAGAGGGAGGAGGAGGGAGGGAAGAAGGTGCTGCCTCTTTTCCTCCCTCCCTCCTCCCCAGAGGCGAGGGAGCAAGGGGGAGCACCGCTGGTGGAGGAGGGAGGAGGAGGAAGGAGAAGGAGGATGCCTCTTTTTGAGTGAGAGGAGCTTTTTGTGCTGGAGGAGCAAGAGGAGCTTTTTGGGCGGGAGGAGAGGAGGAGGGAGGAGAGGAGGTGGAGGGAGGAGAGGAGGGGGGTGGAGAGGAGGAGGAGGGAGGAGAGGAGGTGGAGGGAGGAGAGGAGGGGGGTGGAGAGGAGGAGGAGGGAGGAGAGGACGAAGGAGGAGAGGAGGAGGAGGGTGGAGAGGAGGAGGAGGGAGGAGAGGACGAAGGAGGAGAGGAGGAGGGGGGTGGAGTGGAGGAGGAGGGAGGAGAGGACGAAGGAGGAGAGGAGGAGGGTGGAGAGGAAGAGGAGGGAGAAGAGGTCGAGGAGTGAGGAGAGGTGGAGGAGGCCCAGTGTCCCAGCACCATTCTTTGGGCCTTCCTGTCCTCAGCATGCCCCGCCCCCTTGCTCCTGAGCACATACCTCTCCTGTACCGGTGGAAGGTGGTGACAGCCACGTCCCCAGTAGCACGGTGGGTCCTCATCTGAACCCCAGAACCATCCCCAAAGTCCATCACCAGACACCTATCAGCTTCAGGAGTGATTTGAACCCGGAACCGCAGACTAGGAAGTGCCTGAGCATCAGCTTCTGGGAAGCGAGGGGCGACAGGATCCGCAGCGTCCTCGGGGCCCAGGGCTGGGAAGGCAGCAGCGGGACACTGAGCGTAGGGCCAGAGCTGCTGGTGCCCAGGCTGGAGCGTGGAGAGGCTGATGGTGCAGGGAGGGCCGGGAGGAAGGCCGTGGGGGCTGTGGGGAGAGGGTACAACCTCAGATCTCAGGACAGTGACACATTACCGGGAGGAACAGGATGCAGCAGGGAGCAGCCGCCAGCAAGGTCTGTGGGGCCTGATCGCGGGCTCACGGTCACTGTTCTCAAAGTGGGGTCCCAGCGCAGCATGAACTAGGACAGAGCCTCCCAGCAGCAAGAGGACACTTTCAAGGCCGGGTAAACAGTGCTAGCGCCTCAGGGCACCAGTAGGAAACAGCGCCACCTGCGTGGTCCTGAGCCTGTGCCTTGAAGCAGCGGCCAGCGCTGCCACTGCCCCTGACGTGAACAAGGCAGATGCAAGATCATGGCTCACTGGGCATTCCCCATGAAGGCAGAGAGCCCCCTAGCAGGGACACTGGCCTCCACGCCACTCTCACCCTACCTTCTGGGCCAGACGGCAGGCTGTGAAGTCGGGATGCTGGTCTGAGCAGATGCGGCCACCTGGATGGGGACCCCCGTGGTGACATCTGTCCTGGGAAGCAGCTCGGGGGCCAGGTCCTCTGCAGAGCGCAGTGGCCGCACAGCACAGGAGGGGACCTCCACCTTCAGGCTGCAGAGCCCCGCGGGACAGGCGCACTGGAATTCAGGGTGACACCGGCGAGGGTCAGGTGGGCGGCGGGGTCTGCGCTGGTGCGTCCTCAGCCAGCAGCCAGCAGGGCTCCCAAGCTCAGTGGCTCCGGCGCTGGTGCCGCCCAGGAAGAGGCAGGCATTCCTACCCTCCGGGGCAGCCAGGAATGCTCCTGGGCCCGCAGTCACCCCAAGGCTCGGTCAGCAGAACTGGGCACAGTGACAGCAGATGTCCACGCTGCGCCCGGCCAGGCGGGTGGAAGTGAGCACTTTTACATCAGCTATAAACCCAAGTCGACAGCGGTGTCCAAAGGACCAGAACTTCAAAATACGGGTCCCAACAGGCCCGAGGGTCACCTGCACCCCAGACACCCACCTGGACCAGCTCACAGAAGGCACCGTCCAATTCCCCAATAGCACACATCGGGCGGTGGTGCCGACCCGGGCCACCACGGCTCCAGCAGCCTGCGATTCCCACCAAAGGTCCCCGGGGGCCTCTGAACAGGAGGGAGAGGAAGCCTGTCAGTCTCCCTCCCCGGTGCTGCCCTTGGCTGCTGCTGGGAGAGTGAAGGGCACGGCTCAGAGCTCAGCGGCCCTCAAGGACCCCTGGAGCCTCAGGCAACGCTCCCTCTCCGCACTGACTCCACATGCAGAGCTCACTCCCAGGCCCCACCCCTGCGCCCTCAGGTGTCAGCGGGGTCCCTGCCCCGAGACTCAGGAGCCGCCACCTCCCCACCAGAGCCAGCCCAGGGCCCAATAAATGCGACAGCCCTCCAGGTGCCGCTGCTGCAGCAGTGACCGCCTGAGTTCATGGACACCACACGACCACTGTAGCGCTCACACCCTTGTGGCAGCAAAGGGGACACGGTGGCCAATGTGGGGTGAGCTGTCAGTGTCTGGATTAGTCTTTGCTACAGCACAGGCCAGGCAAGGAGGCTCAGACCGGGGTCTCCTCGTCACCATGGCACCTAAAACAGCAGCTGGATAGAAGCTCAGTCTGTGTATGGTCCTTTAATCCCAGCAACTCCTGCAAAAATCCCTTTTTCCCTCCATTGACATGAAGGTGGAATGTTCCTTTTGAAAGAAATACTGAATTCATACTTGGAAACACAGCCTATAAGTCACCTGGGAACAGGCAGCTCACCTCTCCTGGTCGCCAGAAACTCCCGGGGCCGGCTCCTGGGCCGTGGGGACTGAGGTCTTCCCTGGGGTGGGTTGGTCATAGCTGCGGTGGCCGGCCGGCCGGCTTCGCCCAAAATCCCCTAGGAGACAGTGAATGGGAGCAGCTCCTGGTGTCAGGACACGCACCACACCACGGACTACAGGACGCCCAACACCCTCCTGATCACAGATGCACGCTCCCCGCCCTCTCAGAGCTCCTCTTAACAAGTGCGCTTTACACAGGGGTCGCGTGTCTGCCCAAGACAAGCCATCTCTCTGGGCACTGCAGGATTCCAAGGAGGTCCGATAACTGGGGACAAGGACTTGGGGGATGGCTACAGGCATCCTCACTGCCCCCACCCCCAGCTCTTAGTTTCATTTGGTGTTGCACCAATCACTCTCTCTGCCCCAGGACTGTGTGTGGATTAGTATTTACCCGAAGAAAGGACCAAGAAGACAGGGTGTTTTGTGGCTCAGAATGGCTCCCAGGATGGGGTGGGGGTGGGGGTACTTGGAAGGGTCCAGGGAGGGTGGCTGAGAACCTGTGGGTTCCGGGCCCAGGCACGTTTCTGTGAACTGTTCCCAGGATTTGCTGTCCCCAAACGCTGACAGGCTAGTGGCCAACAGAGCACGGGCCCCTGCAGAGCTCAAGGTCTGTGCTGGGCTGACTGGCCCCTCATAGCCCCCGCCCTCTGGCTCCTTCCCGCTGTGTCTGTTGGGGGTAAACCCCAGCCCCTTCAGGAAGTGTGTGCCTGCCTGTCCATGTCCTGTGCCTACAGGAAGGACCACTGCAGACAGAGTCCCCTCTGAAGCCTGCGGTGTCCTCTGACCTGGAGGAGGGCATTACACACAGTCTGAAGATTACATGGGGAAGTAGGCAAAAGGTATGCCAAATGGGCAGTTCACAGGTAATGCAGGCTGGGGGTTTGCAAAGGGCTGTCAGCTCTGGTTTCTGCAACAAGGTTGTTAATCTCTCCATGATAACAGGCAGCTCCCAGATGAGGAGGATGGGCTGCGCTCCCAGGTACCGAGTACCTGCCCACTGAGCTGGCCCCCACCCCACAGGTCAGAGGGACCAGAGGATGACACCCTGCTCTGCCTTTTCCTCCCGGGGGATCCGGACGTACTCTACATGCCCCAGGAGTGAAGTGTGCAAGGCCACACACGTAACCCGAGATGACAAGGAGCAGAGGTGCCACGACTGAGGGAGAACTGTCGCTGTGTGTCCAGCCCACATGCTGGCCACAGCCACAGAGCTGCCTGAGCTGGATTCAAAATAAATAAGGTTAAGCCCCGCTGGTGTGGCTCAGTGGCTAAGCATCAACCTATGAACCAGGAGGTCACAGTATGATTCCCAGTCAGGGCTCATGGCCAGGTTACAGGCTCCATCCCCCGTGTGCAGGAGGCAGCCGATCAATGATTCCCTCACCATTGATGTCTCTCTCTCTCCCTCTCCCTTCCTCTCTGAGATCAATAAAACATATTAAAACAGTCAGGTTAGGGTTAGGGTGAGTTTCTCCATCACACTGGCCACATGTCCAGGGCTCAGGGTCCGGACACAGAATGACTGTCACCCTGGAGTGTCCTGGTGGCCGGCACTGGGTGGGGCTGGGGCCTGACCCCGCGGTCATCAGCACAGTAGGACCAGGAGCTGCCCTGAAGCTGGACAGTGTCACCTTGTTTCCGAGGCGACTTCCAGGACAAATATTCCTGGTGCAATTCGTTAAATGGCTTTGAGAAGGGCTCCTTTTAGGAGATCCCCACCCAAGCTCCTCCTTAGGAAGGATCAGACTCACCAGGACTTGACGGGCGGGAGTCCCTGAGGCCTGGATTAAGGGGGTGAGGGGGGGAACCGTGCAGGGCAGAAGCCCCGCTGGCAGGAGCCTGGAGCCCCGGGAAGCAAAGCATGCACCCAGCTACCCACTGTCCTTTGTCTCCACTAACTTGATGAACAAAAGCCTATTTGGATTTTTTAACCACAAGTTCTGTATTTCAGGTTTAATGCCCAGTGTTCAGTTCTGCTCCTCCTGACTCCATAGGACACAGTGCTTAAGGGGCACTGATCCAGAGGACAATTGCTACCTGAGAGCGATAAGAGCCCTCCCGGCACCCAGCCCTCCCCCACACCCGGCCCTCCCCCGCACCCGGCCCTCCCTCCCCCACACAGCCCTCCCCAGCACCCAGCCCTCCCCCACACCCAGCCCTCCCAGGCACCCAGCCCTCCCAGGCACCCAGCCCTCCCCGGCACCCAGCCCTCCCTCCCCGGCACCCAGCCCTCCCCAGCCAGCACGCGGAGCAGCGCAGTGCCCAGGCACAGTTTGGTCACCACTTGGACTCAGGCAAAAACAAGAGGCAATTGCTAGATCCTGGTGAGAGTCCACGTACCTTCCTCTGCGCAGCTCCCAGGCCCGGGCAGCAGGAAGCAGAGCAGCGCCAGGGCTGGGACCAGCAGCCTCCTCCCCGGCTCCATGGCTCCCGCCTCCCCGTCACAGCCCAGGCGAAGCCATGAGGGCAGGGCTCTTAAAGGCTTGACCCTCCCCCTGGCCAGCACCTGTGGACAATCAGCCAACTGTGAGTTCCCTCAGAAACACTCCTCACCCCCACCCCCACCCCACCCGCAGGGCTGCTTCCCTCAGATCAAAGTGTCCTGAGGGTGTTATGCGTCCTCCCTCCATGGGGCTCAACACAGCTGCACTAAAGTCAACCTGCTCTCCCCCTGGGGTGACTGTGACACAGCTGGTGACACGGCTGGTGCTGTGTCCATCACAGGACACCTAGAGCCAGTGTCCGAGGTAGAGGACGCACAAACCTGCTGCCCCGGGACTGTGAGTGGCCCTTTGTCTGGTGCACTCATAGCTGTGAATGAGCACATGGCACCAGGTCCTCCACACCCTCCCCCCTCCCCACTGGCTGCAGAAGAAAATGCAACGTCCATCGTCCATCGCTCTGTGTTCAATGCCCTGACGGTCATCCCAAGGGCGCCTGGTCCTTTGATCCCTGGGAGTGAAGGGATGACTTCCGCCCCACCTGCTCCCTCCATGCCCCTCCCCCTCTCTCTGCAAAGACACCTGTGGCGATGCCACCTGAGGGACAGCGACCGTCCCAGCACCAACCACTCTCAGCACTGCAGGGTCTAGTGACCATCTTGATTTCCCTCAGGCGCGTCAGGGACAGGAAGTCGCCATGACCACCGCTGCCCTCACCTCGTCCCAGTGCATTAGTGCAGGGAGCGTGGCACACACTCAGGAGAAGTTTTTAGTGTCTGCTCATCTGTGTCACTTCAGCCCACGCTCACCCCCACCAGCCTGGCTCTCATCCTTCGTCCTCTTCTTGGGAGTACTTTCCCCTAAAGCCACAGGGAATAAAAACATTATTCAGCCCAGCTGGTGTGGTTCAGTGGCTGAGTGTTGACCTATGAACCAGGAGGTCAGGGTTCAATTCCTGGTTGGGGCACATTCCCCGGGGTTGCAGGCTCGACCCCCAGCAGGGGGCATGCAGGAGGCAGCCCATCAATGATTCTCTCTCATCATTGATGTTTCTATCTCTTTCTCCTTCTTCCTTCCTCTCTGAAATCAATAAAATTATATTTTAAAAAACAACACACAAAACCAACATTATTCAGTAGCAATACCTGATGTCTTAAGACAGGACAGAATCCTCTGGAAGTCTTTGCCATCTGGGTCATCTCACCACGTGATGCAAGTCCAGCACAGTGTCTGCTGTGCGGGGTTCAGGACCAGCCCACATCCACAGATGGCCCCTCGACACCTCAGGGCCAAGCTGGAGCCACCCCTGGATCCCACACATCCAAAATGGAGGGTCCCATGTCCTCAAGACAGGAGAGTCACCAGACACTGACCTCACATTCCTGACTCACAGGACCGTGTGCTGTAGGCGTTGACGCAGTGGAGCCAGGGCTGGGGGGGGGGTGGACGGGGGGGTGGGCAGGCACAGCCATCACCTCCTGCTGCTCCTCCTGCCACCTCTGGGGCCGCCATCCCTGACATCCCCAGATGGGTATCACTTAGTCGACAGCATGCCAAGCAGAGAGGAATGACAGCTGGCTTAGGATGTTGTAAAAATTGCATGGAAACCAGCTTCACCACAGCAGATTTGAAACTAAGATGCTTTCCAGGTTCCTAAAATGATTGGTGGGTGTTAACTTTGACATGTATTACTCATTATCCCAGCCACTTAGCCACAGTGATGGAAAGGGCTACACATGAGACAGAATTCTGGGTCCTGATCCCATCCCTGCCACTGGCCGGGAGAGCCCTTCACCGGACCTGCCAAGTAAAGGAGCCGCAGGGCAAACCCCGAGCGCGGCTGCGCTGCCTGCCTGTCCTCCCCGGACGGCACCGCGGAGGGAGGCACCTGCTAGTTCTTGAGGGAAGAACAGAAGGGCCGCTTTGAGTGATGCAGGGGAAGAGGCTCCTCCACTGTTAACGCACCTTCAGCAGCAGCCTGGGGGCAGAAGGGCCGCCACGGGCTCCCAGGGACAGAGGCCGGCAGACAGGGGAGCCCAGGGCGCAGAAGTGCTCAGGTGGGTCCTGCCGGGCCTGTGGCCACACCTCGCTGAGCTGGAGACAGTGCCTGGGAAGAAGCGCCATGTCAGCAGTTGTTGGTACAGGAGGGCTCGCAGCTCCAATAAAAGGCCTGTGTAAAGTCTGGATGGATAATTCCCTTTCAATTTCTTAACAGCAAAACAAAACAGACATGAGAACAAAGAAGTAATGATAGGGGCAGAAATAGAGTATTTGGGGACCAGCTATAATTGTAAGAAATATTAATCCTGCTCTGTTACCCGTGATTGTTTTATTCTGATTAAAGGATGCACATTCTAACCTCCTGGGAGTTGCACTCGGTACCTGGGAGCTCACCTGGAAATGCAGCCCAACCGCCTCATCCGGGAGCTGCCTGTCATCATGGGAAGATTAACAACCTTGTTGCAGAAACCAGAGCCAGACAGCCCTTTGCAAACCCCCAGCCTTTGCATACTCCCAGCCTTTGTATACCTGCAGGCCTTTGCAAATCTCCAGCCTGCATTACCTGTGAACTGCCCATTTGGCATACCTTTTGCCTACTTTCCCGTGTAATCTTCATCCTTCTGCCCAGTATAAGCAGCTGGCTTATGGTGGAGGCAGAGCAGATGTTTGTGGGTGACCTGCTGCTCTCCCCGCTGCCGGCAGTATTGGGATAAACGCTCATATGACTCAACCCTGTCTCTGCTGAATTGGCTCAAGTCGTGAGACAGCGTGGACCCATTGATTGTCTGCTTACACATTCTGGCAACCACGAAGGGACGTAAGCGAGGGACTCCTCTGGGGTGGGTACTGGGAATCCCAGTGCCTGGAATGGGGTTTCCTGGGGCTGAGGCCTGGACTCTTATTTGCAGCACTGCCAGGTATTGTCCTGTTTTGAGTCCCAGCTGCAGCCTCAGCAATCCCGTCTCACCTAAGACCTAAGTTGGATCAAGCGTGTTTGTATGACAGGAGGAGGAATCAAGCGCGTTTGTACAGCAGGAGACGCAGTTGCTGCCTCTCTGCACTTCTTTGTAAGGCCTGTGCATGGCGCCGAGGGTATTTTACTGCCTCTCGTCTGGGCGAGCCTGATCAGCTGGGTGGCAAGAGACCTCCGGTGGTCCTTGCCTGGTCTTGGAGCCCTTAGTCTGACCCACTCTGGTACGAGACACTGCTCTGCTTCAGTGGTTGTTTCTATGCCAGGCATCCTGAGGTTTCCGTGGCTGGACAGACAAGGAGCATGGTGAGCTCTTGTCTGTAGGTTGTGCGCGCCTGTAAATATTGTACAGAGTGTCTCTGTTGTTGTTTTGGGTCTTTTGTTTTTTGGTTTGTTAACGATGGGCCTCATCCCACTCTGGGGAGCCCCCTGCTGGCGGCAGGGGGAACCCGTGGCAAGGATTGCAGGAACGTCCCAGCAGCTGCTGAGAGTTCTCACTCAGGGGACCTTCCTTGCTCTCCCACGAAGGCACCAGCCACTGGAATTCACCCAAGTCTACAGGTACTGCAGGCAAGCCTGATGGCCGCTAGGTGGCTCAGCTTCTTTGCCTTGTAGGGCTAAGTAAAGCTAAATCATGAGATCCCAACAAAGCATTTTTTTAAAAGTCTATATGATCAATTGTTATTTTTATTGTGTTCATGCAAACAATCAAGCTAAATTGTAACTAGACTTAATACAGTAAATAAATTGGTCTTAATGTGGCTCTTTAATAAAAATGAGGGTGACTTTAGGGGAAAAATGTGTTTCAATAGGGAATTATTAGAACTGAAATGTTTTTTCCTTTCACCAGACTATTTGTTGTAATTCTTGATATTCTAACTTTCGCCCAGTAATACTAAACTTTATAACACAGTTCGTCTCCACCAGATCACAAGCCCTACTTGTGCTCAAGGAAACCACGTCTAGACACCACTGCCACTTCCTTCTGTGCCTAGGCCTCATTGTCCTGACGGAGAGCAAGGATCTCTTGACTCAAACAAAACTTTGTTCCTCCTCAACATGAAGCAGTTTCAGAAGAGACTCTAGGCCCCTTCCCCATGAAAGATTTCAGAGCCCAGATCCTTGTGGGGGGTGTGGTGGGCAGTTAGACAGAATGAGCAGAGCAAGGACGATGGGCCAACCGGAGAAATGGACGGACCCTGAAACATGCTTCTCACCACTCCCACCGCACTGACGCTGGCTGTGGAGGAACCTATGCAGACGGACCTTTACATTTTGCCTAGTGGGACTATTGCTAATATGTAAAAATTACTCTATTCATTTTGGGAAGAAAGTCACATATGGGGACTTTTATGTGTTGGGACCCACTGTCTGGGAAAAGGGTGCAGGGATGTTTTCTTTAAAAGTTGCTGCAGTGGCTTCCTGTGTGGGATGTCTTTTACTGGGTGTCCTAGTTATTGTCTTTCAGTATTAATAACTACAGTATGACTTGGTCTGATCATTTCACCCTCCCTTATAGTAATGGACATACTAAGCTGCCGGCTGGCTGGTTTCTGATATGTAGGGTGACTGTTTACTCATATATCCCTGCCAAAAGCACCGAGGGGCCTTGTTCCTTAGCACAACTAGTCTTTATGCCCCAGAAACATAACAGGGTCCGAACCAGAAGAGACCTTCTCACGGCCGTTGCACTAGACTGCAATGATCACCTCCCCCGGTGGAGCCCTGCTGACTATTGCTTTAACCATCTTTGTTGTGCCAGTAATGGTAGGCCCCTTAATGTAGAAGTGACCCGGCTAGCCTGTAGCAGGGTCAAAGCGCTGAATGCCACTTCCAGGGCTATACAGGGGATAAATCAAGAGCTGAGCCAGGTGAGGGACACAGTTCTAAAGAATTGGGCAGCAAGATTACTTACTGTTGCGGCATAACATGATTGTGAGGAATTTAAAGGACTGTGCTGTCTTAATCTTTCTGACAATTCTAGATAGAAAACAACATTCAACAAATTAGGGAAACCATCTCCAAAGTAAAACACAAGGTTTGTTTTGTTTTTTATGGATTTGACTTCATCAACCTAACTTCCTGGCTACCTAACCTGTTTGGGATGTGGGAATTCTCTTAAATTTTTCTCCTGTTTATTTTTTGTAGTCTGATAGCTTACTGCTGTATTCAATCTCTTCCTATTTTGAGACCCTGCATTCCATCCCCAAGAACTGCTATCGAGGCAGAAGCAAATGCAGTCTGGCAGGATGAGATTTTTCATCTAAAACAAATCTCATAGATATGAGATGGTAAAAATAGCAATGGGGAAATGATAGGGACATAAATAGAATACTGGGGACCAGCTATAAGTTTAAGAAAGATTAATCATGCTCTGTTAACCGTGATTGTTTCATTCTGATTAAAGAGGGCACATTCTAATCTGGCTGGGAGTTGCACTTCATTACCTGGGAGCTCACCTGGAAATACGGCCCCTCCTCCCCATCCCAGAGCTGCCTATTATCATGGAAAGATTAACAACCTTGTTGCAGAAAACAGAGCTAACAGCCCTTTGCATACTCCCAGCCTTTGCATACCCGCAGGCCTTTGCAAATCTCCAGCCTACATTACCTGTGAACTGCTCATTTGGCATACCTTTTGCCTACTTCCCCATGAAGTGCAACTCCCAGCCAGATTAGAATGTGCCCTCTTTAATCAGAATGAAACAATCACGGTAATCTTCATCCTTCCACCCAATATAAGCAGCTGGCTTATGGTGGGGGCAGAGCAGATTTTTGTGGATGACCTGCTGCTCTCCCATACTGTCAGCAGGACTGGAATAAATGCTCATATATGATTCAAACCTGTCTCTGCTTTATTGGCTCAAGTAGTGACAGGCAGTGCAGACCCATTGATTGCCCAGTTACAATAATATGAAGTAACATGTTTATTCAACTATTTCATTAATTTAATTTCTAGTTAAATTATCATGGAGGGAAAAATAAGGGAAATGTACAGAATTTGTGCTGCTGTGAAGACATATTGACAAATGACTGAGCACATCACCCCGTGCCTCTCCGGGTCATGGCAATGGTCTCCGGGCTCCGTGCAGTTGGCAGTGCTAGGACAAGGCCGGGATGAAGTACTGGAGGGACACGTCCTCGTGGAGCAGGTCAAAGTGCACCATCTTGTGACTCACGATATCTGGGGACAGAAAACACCCATCACTATGGAGCCTCTGCGCACAGGGCTGCTCCCTGAATCCAGGACCCACTGAAGACGACGTCTGCTCCAGGAACGCCCAGTCCCCACAGGGATGGTCTGCAAAGGCGAGGTCAGGCACCGCCAGGTACAGGGCAAACTTCAGGCAGAGGCACAGGGCAGATGGAGCGCCCCAGACGAGGAGTGATGGCAGAGCGAGAGGACCCAGCAGCCAGGACCCATGACCACAGGACGTGGAAGACAGAAGCACTTCCAAGCAAAGTAAGTCTCCTCTCAGGGACTGTGATATCAGCAGCAAGGAGACAAGTGAGCCCTTCCTCAGGTACAGGGAACGAGCGTGTGCTCAGGTACAGGGAGTGAGTGTGTGCTCAGGTAGGGAAGGAGCGTGTGCTCAGGTAGGGAAGGAGCGTGTGCTCAGGTACAGGGAATGAGCGTCTGCTCAGGTAGGGAAGGAGCGTGTGCTCAGGTACAGGGAGTGAGCGTGTGCTCAGGTAGGGAAGGAGCGTGTGCTCAGGTAGGGAAGGAGCGTGTGCTCAGGTACAGGGAGTGAGCGTGTGCTCAGGTAGGGAAGGAGCGTGTGCTCAGGTACAGGGAGTGAGCGTGTGCTCAGGTAGGGAAGGAGCGTGTGCTCAGGTAGGGAAGGAGCGTGGGCTCAGGTAGGGAAGGAGCGTGTGCTCAGGTACAGGGAGTGAGTGTGTGCTCAGGTAGGGAAGGAGCGTGTGCTCAGGTAGGGAAGGAGCGTGTGCTCAGGTAGGGAAGGAGCGTGTGCTCTGGCAGGGAAGGGGCCTGTGCTCTGGCAGGGAAGGGGCCTGTGCTCAGGCAGGGAAGGGGCGTGTGCTCAGGCAGGGAAGGAGCGTGTGCTCAGGCAGGGAAGGAGCGTGTGCTCAGGCAGGGAAGGAGCGTGTGCTCAGGCAGGTTAGGAGCGTGTGCTCAGGCAGGGAAGGAGCGTGTG